CTCAATTATTTGCGTATATCTACAATACTAACCGTACTTGGCAATCCAATGTCATCATTTTAATCATTGACTCTACATTTCTTCTTCTTTTTTTAGTTTTGTTTTGTTTGATTCTAAAGCAGCCCGGTTGAGCCAGCAAAATGGTAAATGGAAGCCTCTTACAAGTTGCTCCAAAGATGCGATATTCTGAACGCCTTGCATTGCTCCATCATGTTGCACAATCTTCCAAATTAAAGTATTTGTTTATTCTTCCGCAGCGTTTTAGAATACAAATGCTTTCATTGCAGGATGCAAAAAATGAAAATACCAAATCTAAACACAGGGGTAAAATTGTGCTTACGTTCATGTGTTCGTGTGTGTGTGTGTGTGTGTGTGTGTGTGTGTGTGTGTGTGTGTACCCCGAGAGCACTGCTATGTGGTTTTATGAGGCTCCTCGTCGGGTGGGACTGTGTTAGCATCCAATTAAGGGAGCCGCAGATGAAATGATGATGAATTGCAGCGCTGTTGTCGGCTGACGGAAACACACGCATACACACGGGGCAGAGTAGCAACGAGATGGAGCAAAAGATGACGAAGCAATGAGGAGTGTGATGGATGAGGTTAAGCGAGTACACACGGTCAGAATGTTCAAAAATAAATGAAAGGATTGACCTCCCCTCTCACTATCATACCTAAGGACAATTTCGAGTGTTCCGTTAACCCGCCATGCATGTTTTTGGAATGTGGGAGGAAGCCGGAGTACCCGGAGAAAACCCACGCAGGCACGGGGAGAACATGCAAAAACCCCACTCTGAGACGGACATACTCACCAGTCGACCACCGTGCCGTGCCGCCCCATGTAATTATGATTCGGATTATTATGATGATGGAACATTTTTGCTTAGTCAACCACCAAATTCAGGTGACACGATTTCCCAATTAAATTGTGGAATAATCACTAGCATAATCAATTTGAAAAAGATTTGTTGGGGACAGCTGAAGTCATTATTAATAATTAATGACATTCGTTTATGTGAAGACACCGATTATGTTTGTAATTTCTGGCATTAAATGGGAAACGGATAAATTCCAGGATGCCACAATTTGTCTCTACAAATCTCAATAAATTGTTTACATTTGTAAATGATTGCAAATGACCACGCCATAGAGCAATAAGTAAAAGTTAACCAAATTATCATTTTTTTTCTCCATGACATGTTGCAATTAGGCTCTTTTGAAATGAAGTCAAAATATGTTGCCATTCATTCTTAAGGCTTCACGGTAATGCAAATACAAAGTAACATTACGTCATGATAATAACCGTAGAAAATCAGTACTGAACTCAAACAAATAAAATTACTGTGGGTGCTCTGAGACTTGGTGTGTACATTTTAATTCCAGTGGCGTGTGAGAGTATTAAATGGCAAAAAGAAACTGAAAGCTTGTTTTATAGCGCACTAAACGGATGGTATATAACACCCGTTATGATTGATAACCTGCTCACTGTTACCATTGTGTTCAGTATTCTCCGGGGGACGGCAGGGATTGTATGTTTATGTATCACAGCAGGTTGTGTCTGGGGGAGTCACGTGCAATAAATCATCGCAAAAATTAGCTGGCAGCTCCCCTGTCCATTCAATCTTTCTGTTTCGTTGTTTCATTACTTACCCCGCTCTCCAGCACTCACGCATCCAACTTGCACCCACACTAAGAATCCAGAAATCATGTTGCGATATTTCAGAGCCCAACATAATGTAGATACGCATATGGCTGATCCACCACAGAAGCCACTTCCTAATCACGCAGTCCATCGAGACTGTGGTATCAGTAACAACCAGTGACCTGCTTAACATGATTTATTGCACTTACACCTACTCTGTCGGCAGGTGTGTATGCGCGTGTGCGTACGAGAGAGAGTCACCGTGAAGTGCCGATGGTGCCCTGCCTTCATCGGAATCACTCAAGTCATCATGAAAACGTAGCACAATAAAGAAACTTATGGTGTATTATTTTAGAGATCGTATCATAAGTGGCCAAACATTTGCACACGTCAGTACAAACATAAGTCCACAAATGTGTTGACATAACTCATGGACAAACTGAATGGTGATTGGATCCCACAAACGTAGACACAAACAAAATCCGTAACAAAAAATGTTTATTTACAAGAAAAAGCGCACCGACAAAGTATAAAGAGAAATCGCTGGTCACAAGGAGCCAGGAAAAACAAGGCATAAGCAAAAAGCGCTTGGAAAAAGGCAAGGTGATAGTCATGCCGAGAATATAAACGGAATGACAAGAGTCCAGTTACACGAAAACAAAACAAGAGTAAAATCAAAGACAAAATAATATCAATATATACTAACGAGGTACGAGAGAGCAAAAATGACAATGAAGAGATCGAGAGGTTGAGAAAACAACACTTGAGCAAGCGCAGCAAACAGGGTCAATAATCCGACAGAGATTTGGCAATAAGGCAGCCCTTAAATACCTGGCTAACTTGATGAAAACATTGACAGCAGGTGTGCATGCTGGAGGGAAGGCCATCCTCTGTCATTTGATGCAGACATAAAACAACAGGATCATGGCGTTTTGCTTTCATTTCATTTGTTTTGTTTTGCTTTTTCAATCTCCCAGCGTGTATGAGATTGTGGTCTGTCCTCCACACTAAACACAGTGTGTCGTAAGTGTCAGACAAAATGAAAAGAAAAAGCTGACATGGTAGTATTGTCCACAAGTTTGTGGTTAAAATCTGTCATTTTGAGCATTCCGTTTTCATTATTATACTGAGCAGTTTACGCGTGGTCCTGAAATTGTTGTCCACGCTGTTGTTATGAGGTTGTTAGCCCCTCTGATGTTTTCGCTGATGTTACTACCACAGTGTTGTCTTTCTTTGATGGAGGCTGAACTAGCGGTGAGTGTTGGTGTAAAATGCCAATTGCATCGCAAAATCTGACGACGCTTGAAAAGTCGAATCAGAGAGGCAAAAAAAAAAAAGTCCCTCGAAAGTAAAGAGACTACTTGAAGTCTATTTGGAACGCACTCTCAAGGTATCTGCCAAGATGACTAATTACATGAGGGCGTGCACACAAACTCAGCTTTTCAACCCCCCTCGCCACGCAGCTGCTCCGCTTTGGTGAAATTCGGCAGTCCTCCCCACTCGATAGGATACACACACACACACACACACACACACACACACGCATGCAGTACTGTATCTGTCGCCACATTCTGCAGGGACGTGCGATCCATAGAGACGATTCATGAAGCGGGAGAGTAAACGAGTGCCGGGGCAGATAGCGAATGAACCCAAGCCAACTTGCAGTGTCCCTGTAATGAGGCTGGCGAACGTGTTTTCTGCTCACCACGTACTTGGCGTGTCCCAAAGCAACCTGTCCTGTCCCTCTCCTTGCCACACCTCTCAGTAACTTCCTTCCTCTCTACACTCTGCTTCCTCTGCCTTTAAAACACTTTTTTGGCAGGGGTCGTTGTTCACCGTTCATCTTCGTTGTCCTCTTTTGCTATCCTCATCGTTTTAATGTCCTCTCTGCCAAATTCGTATTCCCCCACTAATTTGCCCTGTAGCTCTCCCTGAGCTTAGCTCCCCTGAATTTGCCACATTTCTTTCCCACCAGCCTGCTCTCCTGTCGTCTTTTTTCCCTCAGGGGCCCCGCTACTGTATGTTTGGCTCAGGTAGATTAATTACATGCAGTGACATGCAGGCGCTGGCCAGAGGCTCCAGTAATGAGTTTGATTACTCATCTCCAGCAGCTCTCGGCGCTCAAGGGAGGAGAAGAAGGACACAGAGCCAGGCAGAGGGGCCTCTCATTTGGGAGGAGCCGGGGTTCAGAACTGCAACTTTTCCCTCGCTGGAGCCCACCACTAGAAGACTTTTAACCGAATAGAGACCACCACTCGAGATCAAAGCTGAAGCACAAGTCAAGTCAGTGACTGACCGATAGCCTATAGCAAAGTCCGGACTTCATAAGTGGATTGTGGGTGTAAGGGACACGCAAGTTTTATAGGGATGGGTCGTGAACGGACGAAAAATAGCTTTAACGGTCGGCGAGGTTAACTAGCCGAAACATATCAAGCCATCATCATGATTGTTTCGGATGTGATAGCTCAAATAAACAGTCCAAGCCATTACCTGACCGATAGCCTATAGCAAAGTCCGGACTTCATAAGTGGATTGTGGGTGTAAGGGACACACAAGTTTTATAGGGATGGGTCGTGAACGGACGAAAAATAGCTTTAACGGTCGGCGAGGTTAACTAGCCGAAACATATCAAGCCATCATCATGATTGTTTCGGATGTGATAGCTCAAATAATCATTTTGAAACACACAAAATTGTGTTGAAATTGTGTAAATCAAATGTTTTTTTTTTGTTTGTTTTGTTTTTTTATTCATTTGGCAGTTTATGAATAACCTTGGAAATTTTCAAGACTACCAGCACATTTTAAGATTTTCCTCAACGCATTTAAACAGAGACAGTCATCTCTTCATCGACCAACATGAACCCTAAAAAAAAGTGTCACCTTTTAAAATGAAAACTTCCAATAGTCCAAATGAAGTGAGTGAAGCAATGAGCTATTTTCTGCACATCAATAAGTAAAATCTACTCTAATTCCGACCTGTCTTTAGAGTACGTAACCGCTGGAGCCTCAGTACTCAGACCAGTTTTTGTTTCTGAGCTTTATTGTTGACAACCGTGAACTTATTTCTACTCTTACACGACGATTATTAATGCGAACATGTCACCACACACCTGCGCCGCATTTCAATATTTTAGAATTGTCTGAGATAAATTAATTCATTTTGAGAAACATCCTCTGAAACATAAATGAGGGTTGAAGAGCCACTTTGAGTCGATTGTGGTCAAGTTCAGACCGTCCACATGAATTATCATCAGCTTTAGTGCAAAAACTGCATGTCAGAAACTTGCTTTTCACTGCCTTGACTGCCTTTTTTCTTCACGAGTGGCCCCCAGAAAGCCGATTAGACCCTGGGTGATTGCAATGTGACATGGTGCCGCGGTGTGGTCTGTGTTGGCATTTTTAAAGCATGTGACCGTATGAATAAAGCATGATGTGGCGGGCCGCCGGGGTAGGCAGAAGCCGACTGGAGAACAAGTCCACCCAGTGTTTTTGGTGACAGCAAACAAGTGAAAACCCTGAAAGTTTAATGGGTGCCTGGCCTCGGAGGGTCCGATTGTTTCACTGTTGACTGCCAGTTTTTAAGCAAGTATTTAACCAGTGGCGACGTTGCGGCAATGCTAATAAAAGCATCCCGCCTTGTGTGAGTGTCCCGGGTGAGGGTCCCAACCGGATAAGGGGGAACGGGGAAACGGGCACAAAGACAGATGGGGTGTGTTGGAGAAGTCTGCATCATAAATGGGTGCGTATGCGCTACAAGCGCCATCACGCATTTGGAGTGGTCAAGTTCGGTCTAGCAAATCAAGTGTGTCAGTGAGCAAATGGAAAATGCCAATTTCACTTTACACTTTCCCGCCCTATCGCATCTTTCCCTCCTGTGTCGCTCGGCCGCTCTATCAAGTGTGAGTGAATCCCTTCTCACACGTTTACCACTGTTTGATGCCTCACCTTTTTCCTCTCTTCTTTCATTTTGCTGTTGTCTTTGCCTCTTACCTCCCATTCCCATGACATTCTCGCGATGCCCATCCAGCCAAAACCCTTCTGTCATTTCCCTTTGTGTGCGTGTGCATGTTATGTGTTTATGAAATGTTTCTATTTTGGTCAGTCTCTGCATGGCCATGCTGCATAACTCTCTGCCACCAACAAGCCAGAAATGAATCACAAATGAATTGTTTTAGGATTCACCCGTGCAGGTGACTCTCTCTGTCTATTTTTTGTTGATCAGTATGACTACGAGGGCGGTGACATCAGTGACCTCCCAGTTGACCTTTCCGTGCTGTGGAATGGAAACTTTGTCATCGACAATCCCTTCAACATCCAAGGTAAAACACCAACACCATCAACTCTTATATTTTGATTTTATTTTTATTTTTTACAATGGTAAGGTTACCCACAGAGCTCTACCTAATCCAACACACCCGATTCAATTGATCATGATCGTTTCAGGCTTCTACAGAGCTTGCTGATGCGCTGATCGTTTGAATCGGGTGCGTTGGTGTAGGGAGAGATCTAAAACAGGCAGGATATGGCTCTCGAGGAACCGGAGTTCTCTATCCCTGGTGTACGGGTTTAAATTAGGTTTTAGGGTTCGGATTATAGTTGTGGTTTTGTGGTCAGGGTGGATTATCGGTTTGTAGATTGGGGTTATTTTTATATGTATGTTATCCAGAGGTGCACATTTTAATTTACCGTACTTTCCGCACTAAAACGCGCACCTAAAAGCCTTCCATTTTCTTAAAAGCTCACAGCGCGCCTTAAAATCCGATGCGCCTTGTGTATGGTCATTACGGTAATATTTCGACCCCAAAATGGCTCCTTTAATAAATTCAATTTAAGGCGATCATTTTCGCAGTTGAACACGGAAACAGAGCAGCAGCCAGAGAGTTCAACGTTAACGAGTCAATGTTATAACTTGCTGTTGGTTAAGTGAACCGTGTCGCTGCTTTCTTAAATACATTAAACTGACATCTGATCGTCGCTATATGGATCAGGGTTTCGTGCAGTGTAATGTTCTGTTGGCATTTCCTTGAGCGTAGCTCCATCTAGTGGATGCATTGTAGTTTACGTCTTATAATGCGGTGCACCCAATATATGAAAAAAATTACAAAATAGGCCAGTCATTGAAGGTGCGCCTCATAATCCAGTGGGCCTTTTGGTAAGGAAAATACGGTAATATGGACCATGTTTTGGGCGTCTACCTTCATTACATGTATCCTTCAGTTAAAAAAAAAAAAAAATAGAAGACATTCAAAATTGCCTCGTCCTCGTTTTGGGTTCTAAATATTTTTGTACCCACTGCCTCAATGAGTTCATGAAAAAAAAAATTAGCTTAAAGATTCCATCAAAAAAATCAAGCTGACCGTGAGATCCTTGAATTTGTGAAAACACGGCCGTACTCTCAGTTATGAAAAGGGGTGAGAAAGCATGAGATGAATGGTTAGGACTCTTTTCAGAGCAAACATCCATCGCAACCAAATGAACCGGATAGATGTGAGATAGACAGATATACAAATGGAAGAAACCTGCGAACAGTGGAACAAACGATGGGTGAGAATGAAGGGTGGACAGACAACAGCTTGATAAATATGCCACACACTGGCAGACGGGGAAGATGAGAATTAAGGAGGTGAGAAAGAAAATCCAAAAAGTGGATGAAGGATGGCATTTATTATTTTAATGACTCTTTGCGCATGAAGTGGAAAACAATTACGCATTCAGAATTCTTTCTCAAGTGTAATATATTGCGCTGCAGAGGCTAATGAATTCTAACGTCCCATTACACAAGATAACATAAGTCGGGCTCTCAAGTGTGTCACACAGATATTTGCTTCAAATCTGCATACAGATTCAGAATTACGAACATTTCTGTTGTTTGTTTCGGTCCCTCCCTCCTCTTCATTTTCTATTTTTAGATGGAAAAAGTGCCCGTGTTAATTGCGTCCTATGCCTTCTGTCTGGCCCACTTCTGACAGGAGTCAGACAGGCAGTTCATCTTGCAGATAACTTGCAAATGAGTTGCTTATAGGTCGTAACCTAATTATTCTGTCTGCACTATTTCATTGAAAACATTCTCCTCTGCGGTTTGCGTTCCGTATGCTTCTCATGTCAAATCTTAATCGGTTTAAAGTCTTCAAATGGACATGTGCTCATCAATCTTTATCACGGGCATTGAAAATAAGTCGTTTTACCTTCGTCTGTTACATCAACTGTACAATTTTGGGAACCCACTGACTAAATACTGACAATTTACCAGAGGGTGACAACGAGCCGCCGCCGTGACTGTACCCAATCTTAGCAGGGCTAGTGAACATTTTTCCCACAAGCCTCACTATTTCTTTCATTTGTAAATATGAAGTTGTAAATATGGTTAAGTATTATTGTAAAACACAATATATGTGTGCTCTGTATACTTGGTGGTGGCTGGTGGCCAGCTGTTGCTCTCTCTCTCTCTCTCTCTCTCTCTCTCTCTCTCTCTCTCTCTCGCTTGAATCCAGAAATAATATTTCCAACAACATTCCCACAATTCATGTATAAAGAAAAAAGAAACATGGCTGCATTTACACATGAACATGGAAATTATCCTCGTCCTTATCCACGAAGCGCATGCTCCAATCACTCCACTGGGTCCGCAGAGTTTGAGAGCTGCCTGGGAAGGTGCCTGGCGAGTGTCTACGAAATTTGCGACTAAAGGTCCAGTCAATAGGGTGGTCGCCACAACACAAATTTGAGAAGCGGAGGTGGGCCTTGGAGCAGCAGAACGTTTTGCGGTCGTCCTTGCTCACTCACCGCATAAAGACCTTCTCCTCTTTTTTTTTTCTCCCCACCCTCCATTAATCCCTCGGCACTCCATCCCCTCTCTTTCTCTTTCAACATCCGAGCCGTGTTACTGTATTATCCGTTTGAGGAGGAGTATTATGGGCGCTTGCCCAGCTTTGCCCTAGTGTGAAGTGGAGATGTTAATTAAATCATACATTTGCCTCAGATTAATTAGCGTTATGCTACTTTTAAGCTAAACCATCGCTAATCAGATTAGGGTGCGCGAAGGCCAAGGCTGCGGCAGATGGATTCGAACGGAGCCCACTTTGAAGTCTTCCACTCTGTGCGAGGAAGAGAAGTGAAAGCAGGGATGATTTTTCTCCAATGCTCGGGTCCACTTTATTCGTTTTAAATGTCTCTATTATTTTAACCACAACAAAATGTTCATTTTAATGGTGTGTTTTTCACCCAATATAATATGATGACGCACACACTCAACACACATGGTGAGTTCCTTTCATCAGCCGCTTCTTCTCAGTTGTTAAAGGTTATTTGTGTTCATTTTTATTTCTAATGACTTTTTCCACTCCGAGGAGTTAACGGAATTCATTTATACACAATAAATGATCAATTTACCTTGGACGTTAAAAGACATTATCTGGAGAAACAATTTATTTTTCTTATTTTGCATTTGACTTTTATCATCACAAGTGTTTTCGGCGAGGTTAACATTAAATATATTTATGTAGACCATTTCTTGTTCAATAGTGTTGCAAGGACTTTAAAGACTTAAATGCCCTTTACCAATTACTTATTCAGAAATATAAATAGTTTTAAACATACTTAACTTATTCAACAACCCCAAAAATCTTCAAATAAACCAGGACCTCTCGATTAAAACAGCATGGGAGGGGGAAGGGGGGGGGGGGTTCTTAGTACAAGCTGAGTTACTGACGGGCATGACAAATCAATTCAATTAAGAGTGCAATTACGAGTTTCAATTAAGAATCAATCACAAAGCATTTGATTATCTGTCAACACTTTGAACAATGAAGTTAAGTTATGCCGTGATGCAAATGAGGCAAAATGGATTTGACTACTCAGTTGCAGACTGCGCTTTCAATTCCTGTCTGCCTAATTGGCTGTCATATATATATCTATCTATCTATATATCTATCTATATACACATACACACACACACACACACACACACACACACGCACACACACACAAAAGTGCATTTGAAACAGAACAATCTTTTATGAGAGTAGTCGCAAGAAACATCTTCTGGAAACATCTTCTGGAAACGTATTAACTATTTAGTGAACTGGTGTTGCCCATTTGAGACGAATAATACAAGGCTGTCATTGGTAATGTCATTAGTCTGCTCTCTTGGCACTGGGTTTGCCTTTTTTTTCTTTTCTTTTTTTGATTGCGTGTAATGAATATTAACCATACACCTGCTGGCCGACAATCAGCAAGCGTTTGTTGAATCAAGTAATTATGATATTTTTAAGGATGTTTTACAGTACTGTGAAATGGACAATTTTCAGGGAATAACGGCATTGCCTTTCATGCTTGTCTTGTCTTGTCACTCTGTTTTGCTATCCAGCCCACCTGTATAAGTGCAGAGCACTGCGGGATAGCTGTGGCATGTGTCTGAAGGCAGACCCCCGGTTCGAGTGCGGTTGGTGCGTCCAGGAAAAGAAGTGCTCTCTGAGACAGGAATGTACGATTGGCTTCAATTCCCACCTCCCGCTGCAGTTGGTTGATGGGGGAGGCTGGATGCATGCTGCATCTGGGAACAGCCGATGCACCCATCCCAAGATTACCAAGGTAAAATAACATTGAAAAAAGTAATCCACTTTTTGCACAGTTTCTTGATAAATACTGAATTCAGAAGAAAGAATTCAGAATTACCTAAACTTGTCTAGCCCTTTATATTGGATATAATAGTAACTGGAACAGAAAAAATGAAAAACTTGTTTGGTTTATTACACGTACTTACACCGTAAATCTATATCATAAACTACATATCAAAATATTACACAATGAAATTTGTGGGCGGCACGGCGGTCGACTGGTTAGCGCGTCGGCCTCACAGTGCAGAGGTGCAGGGTTCGATTCCGGCTCCGGCGTTCCTGTGTGCATGTTCTCCCCGTGCCTGCGTGGGTTTTCTCCGGGTACTCCGGTTTCCTCCCACATTCCAAAAATATGGCACGGCAGGTTAATGGAACACTTTAACTGGTCCTTAGATGTGATTGTGAGCGCAGATGATCGTTCGTCTGTGTGTGCCCTGCCGTTGGCTGGCTACTGGTTCAGGGTGTACCCCGCCTGCTGCCCGAAGACAGCTGCAATAGGCTCCAGCACGCCCGCGAACCTTGTGAGGATAAACGGATTAGAAAATGGATGGATGAATCATAATAATCATCCAATAATATTCATAATAGTACTTCAAAAAATGCTGTGAATATGCACTTTTTTGTGGGAGGGTGGTAGCGGGGAAGACACCATTAATACCAATATAATGTGGCCTCATTCAGCGCCACATCTTAATCCCATCATCATCATCATCGTTTGAAGGGTGTGTGGTTACCTGCAGAGATCCAAGGCTGGGCAACTCTGATAGGTCATTGCGTCAGCTGTCTTTGGTGAAGCCCCCGAGGTCACAAAAACTCTTCTTGGTGTCCTTCACAGAGAATTAAAGCTGCTTTATTTTAATGTGTTGCTATTAAAACAAGTACATTTTGGCTCCTTGGCTTTGCCCTTGGCACAGAAGCCGTATCGTTACTCAGTGTTACATCAAACTAGCACTGTGAAGGGAAAGCCCGATTGATGTTTATTTGATTGTGAGTTTCTTTTTTAACCTAATTTCTTTTGGAATCATGTGAAATTTTGGCATGTTTTTTTGTCATTTCTGAGATGATTACGTGAACTCTGCTGGCCCTTCAAAGTTTAAATAATTTTTAATTATGGTAAAGTTTGATGTGCGGTCATACGAGACAAACCAAATTCACAATTAATTTCACTGCCCAGTGGCCTATGAGTAAAATCACGGCATTTCTTTGATAAGAAATTGACAAAATCAGTTCTCACATAATAATACTGAACTTTGATTCTTGAAATAGTGGCCGAAGACATGAGCCTCAATCTGTAATTTGCTTCAATTTGGTACGGTATGTATAACGGTACCACTCTACGCGTTCTTTGTTTAGTTCTTATACTGTAATGTATTTACTAATTTTGAATTTGAGAGAGAAAGAGAGAGAGAGAGAGAGAGAGAGAGAGAGAGAGAGAGAGATAGAGAGAGAGAGAGAGAGAGAGCGAGAGAGAGAGACAGAGAGAAAGAGAGAGCATACCCACAGTTCTGCCGAGCAGTGGTGGAGCACAGGGCAATGGACAGATTATACATAATTACCTCACGATGCTTGTTAAGGATGACGCATGTGTAAACCTGGTCCTGGTTCATAGTGTGTATGTGTTGGCGGTAACCACCGTCCATCCGTCACTGTATTTGTTTTGTCATGCCACACCTGTCCTCGTTACGCGTGGTAATTCGGCGTGATAAATCACATTATGGTTTCAGGAAGCACCACCGAATGTTATCCCACCACAGCCTTCGTCTTCGCTTTCACTGAATCCCCGAGATGGCACTTTTGCTTTGGTTTGCTTGTGTATGTCATCGACTTGTTTCTCCTCCCTCTGGTTTACTTTCAGAGTGTTTTATTTAACAAATAGCAATATCTGTCTTTATTGCATCGCCAATTACAGGGTATCTACAATTATTTATGGTGTGTGTGCTTCTTGCGGATCGATGGGGCTGTCTGGAGTGTGTTTAATATGTGTGGCCATGGGTGTATTAATGTGACGCATCCTTGAAATGTCAGGTCACGGGCATCATAGGAGAATGAATCAGACTATTTTTAACACTGACTTAGGAGATGAGAGTTAAATATATTGAATGAATTCTCTCTCTCTCTCTCTCTCTCTCTCTCTCTCTCTCTCTCTCACTCTCTCGCTCCAGTTGTTTCCTGACACAGGACCCCGCCAAGGGGGGACCAGGGTGACAATCCTTGGAGAAAACCTGGGTCTCCACTTCAGAGACATCCAGATGGGCGTAAGGTTAGGCAAGGTGCCCTGCATCCCTATCGAGACCGAGTACTTGAGCGCCGAGAGGTAAATTGGAGGACAGACTCCTACATTGTATCATTTCAGGTGCAATCACAAAGGTGTGTTTGTCATAAGTCACTGCATTTTCACAAGGATCGAAGAGAAGATGGATTCATCTGTAGATTGATGCAGGGCTGGAGCTCTGTCTTCAGCTACAAAGTACTATGCATAGGACTGGTCGCCAGGCAGTCACAAGTAGACGAGCAACATTCACATTTGCACCGAACAGCAACTTAGAGTTTTCAGTTGACCTAAAATGTATGATTTAGTAAAAATTGACCAAAATGAATCCTGCATTCCCCTCTTCAATTCATAACAATTTATTAGTTGACACACCCGAGACGTACCCAATGAGACATCAGATTTTTGTGCGTGACGATAATAGGATTCCATCTGTTGTTCCCCTCCATTACTCCCTATATATGTGCTTCCCCTGACTTTCCCATCCCTTTATCCTGACATTTACTCCTCTGCAGGGTTCTGCACAGTTTAGGAATTGCGTTCAGGCAAATCGGAACATCTCTCACTGGTCCACTTAGTGGGAAAAGCAAGCATGTGGAGATAGCAGAACACATTTCAATTTTGAATAAAACACACACTTCAATTAACCTCCATATCTTGAAATTCTGCTTCCTCTTCACATGTACTGTATGTTTTTGTATTTGTGTCCTTTTAGTCGCACAATTTGATTGTCATTTTGCTCACACGCTCAGACAATGAAACACCAATACATTATACTGACTTGTGTTTTGGTACAGCAACAACATACTGTGCATGGATGAGGTGACTGAGTGTTCATTGTAGATCGTGGTGACCTTCAAAGCATACGTGATGAGGGGAAAAAAGGGAGTGGTTATTGGATATGGTAAATGTATGTGGTGCCACAGGTTTTTTTTTTTTTTAAACCTCCGCCAAGAAGGTTATGATTGTATTGTCATTATCGGTACTATTTTTGCTGGTTTGTGTATATAATTTTTATAACACATGTAGACAGGAATAAATAAATAAATTGATGAAACTACCGTATTTTCTGCACTACAAAGTGCTTCGGATTATAAGGCACACCTTGAATGAGTAGCCTATTTTAAAACGGTTTTCATACACATAGGGCGCAACGCATTATAAGGCGCATAGAATAGAAGTTACAGTCGTGGCTGCGGTTGCACTATTCATCCACTAGATGGTACCAGACTAAAGGGAATACAATACAATACAGTTTTATTTATATAGAGCCTTCACAACCGATGCAGTTGTAACAAAGCTCTGAGAACTGGTCACAAGCACAGACAAACATATTATTCAAATGTGTAGGTTACTGTCAATTCTTGTTTGATTGAGTTGTGCTTGCGGTTATGTCGCATCCTATTTGAGCTTTTGAAAGTCTGAAATGTTACCACGCTCCCAGGTAGCGCCTTTACTTTTTTTTGTTGTTGTTGTTGTTGTTGAAAACCATCTTGGCTTTTTTTCAGTCGCTGATTAGTTGAGGCAATGAAAATGTTCATGTTAACAGTTCGTCTTTATTGATATAATGTGATCAACTCTATTCTGTTCACAAACGTGTACGCTTTCACGATTTATTTCACTCTGAGCTCATTCTCCCTCTTGCTGTCATCCCTGCACCAACAGAATAGTGTGTCTGCTGAATGATGCAACAGGATACAGAGTACAAGAGGCTCAGGTCGAGGTGTGCGTGAGAAACTGCGTTAATGACTACAGGGCCCTTTCTCCTAGGCCGTTCACGTTTGTGGTAAGGACCGCACAATAGTCACATCAACCACTGAATTGCTTTCACCATGTAGCCCTTCGTTATTCGTCATTAAAACTCGCTTAACCCTGTTAACCTTCGCCATTCAACAGTGATGTTATTCAACAGTTTTGCCTATACATTGTGCGGACTGAAACTATCAAAGAGCGGCGTCTAATTGGAAGTAGCCGCCACACAGCCTCAACGCGTTTTCAAACATTTTGCGCAATGTTGTTCTTTCAACTTAATTAGGGGAGTGTCCTTTTTCTGTCCCAGCAGGCCGAACGCATGCTTAGATGATTTTGGTGTCGAGAAATTTACGAGCTTGACGTTTACGTTCACAAGTTCATCGATGTTCTTGTGACTGAATGTACCAAAATTCCAATGATGAACTCCAAAGTCTTATACAATATCTTGCCTGATGCATGGATGCTATTTTTGTCACTGCAGTTGGTGAGCAAACTCCCCTCTGTTAATCTGTTTTACTTCCTCTCAATCTCCAAATTTTAGGGGCCAGGTACCAGTTTGACGAAAAGTCAGATTTTTTTGACAGGCTGGAAAAAAAACAATTGAATTGTCTCAATACAGCATTCTTGTTCTTGGAAGCTTTTTTTTTTCCACATCACATGACCAAGATGTGCATTTCAACAAAGGCACAAGAGTCAGTCGCTGAATTTCAAAATAAAACTTGAACCCAATGATGAATACAATATATTGTGTGTGGTCGTTTTGTGCGTTTTGTTAGCAAATAACCTGCGCTGCGGTACCAGTCTATGGCCCGGTGGTTGGGCGCTTCTGCTCTAATGCAGTGATGATGCGTCCATTTTTTTTTTTTTTTTTTTAAATACAGTTAAAGGTCTTCAGTGAATGGCTATTGTAGATCTCAAAATTTCAATCTACTCACTTTACATGTCTTTGTTACATGTGTCTCTTCTCCAGACACCATTTTTCACCGGCATCCAGCCTTCCCAGGGTCCGATATCTGGGGGTACCCGGGTCACAATAGAAGGGAGCTACCTCAATGCAGGCAGCTCTGTTTCTGTCAGCATTGGACCTCAGCCCTGCCATTTTAAAAAGTAAGACTATATTTGTCGCTCACAACTACATGTGTTCTTTCTCCTTTGCCACAAATTTGTGCCTGTTTGATGCTCAATGACATTGCCTTGGACATTTGATGACACAATAAGTACTGGGGACTATGGGATTGGAAAGCCTGGGAAAGGGAACAGAAAAAAAATGTAACAGAAAAAAAAATATGTGATAATCTGTCTAAAGTAGTTGTTCGAGTGTGAGAAATAATGGCGTCATCACCGTTGAGACAGGCTTGTACTCACGCTACCAGTGTTTGCAGGTGTGTGTCGTATGTGCACGCACAAGTAAAATTCACAAGGCGCGCAGCAACGCTTCGCCTGAACTCACGCAGGTTTTTCCTTAATCTCAGGCAAGAAAAACATTCCCGGCTATCACAACAGTGGCATGCATGTCAAACGTAGGGATTAGCCCCTGGCTGCTAATCTGTGTTGAAGCAACTACTGTGTGCTAGCTTTGATGTTGCCGCAGTCATTTCTGTCGCAACACCCCCCTCACAGTCAATCCAGTTGATTCCACTTCACTGCAATTCTGTCTTTATCTGTCAGACCCGAACTGTGCCGCCGTGTTTGTAGCCTCTTGTCAAGGTTGCTGTCTTTTAAAAGGCGTTGCTATGGTGAGAAGGCATCTCACCATTTCTGGACTCTATGTTACAGTAAATGGGGCTTTGGAATAGAACAATATTACAATGGAATACATAAAATATATTCTGCAAAAGTTGAACCGCCTTGAACAGCCAAGGTATTGCACACTAGCATCTATTCAACTTTACCCAGACCATCGTGATTGAGAATCAACTCAAACTAATTGAATGCATATCTGCACCAAAGTATCTCTACACCGCATTACTGTTGCGTAGTCATGTCCCGGGAGAGCTGCCGACACATAAAAGTACGAAATGTATATTTGATGAAGTAGCTTGACAGAACTGCGTGCATGAATGCAATAGAAATAGTTATTAAGCATACGCAGTATGCATACCGTATGCACACACACACACACACACACACACACACACACACACACACACACACACACACACACACACACACACACACACACACACTAGCTGTCTGCATCAGTCACGTGTAGCTGCAGCCATTGAATATGCACCGGTAATCGAAAAGATAGACCCCACTCGATGCTCATTAGTACATTTCCGTGAATTATGTTCACATACTTTCAAGACTTTTTAATCCAATTGAGCATGTTTTTTCACTTGCTGTCGACAAAACTGAATGCAATAAGAACCACAAAGAATCTCCTGCAATGGAACTCCGTTTGGTGTCGTCCATGTCATGGGCTCCAGGCTAAAAATGACTTTTGTTCAAATACTAGATTACAATTGATGATTATAACTTATGTACAAGACTGTATATTATTCAAATCTGTATTCTAGAAGATAAATTGTGCATTTTTTAAATTATTTTTATGTACCTGGGACTTCTGGACATACTGTAACTGTCTCTCTGAGTCCGAACAACCAAAGTCGTTTGTCCATCCAGGAGGAATGCCCATGAGATAGTGTGCATAACGCCAGCTGGCCTGGCTCCAGGAAGCGCACCTGTCTTGGTGGACATCGATGACGCTGAGCTCAGAAACCCAGAGGTCAAGTTTAATTATACCGAAGACCCCACTGTGCTGAGGATTGAACCTGACTGGAGCATTGCCAGGTAAACTTTTGTCTCATTGAACAACTGACAACATTTTATTCAAATACATTTGTATCACATATGTATTTTTGATACCGCTATCCCGTGAGGCGTTCAGCCCAACGAAGACCACCGAGAAAATGCATCGCTCACGAGATTGTTTGTCATTTCATCAAATGGTTCCGATCGGCTGACCGGAGAATTTCATAGCAAAACACATTGTTAGTCTCTCGTACGCTCTGTTGCTCAGACAAGAATCACCGCAAACATAATCAAGGAGTTATTGCCCAGAACGCTGCCATACGCAGTGAAATACAAACTCCTACAACATTTACCAGCCCGTCACTGGACTGACAGTTTTAACTCTTTCCGACCAAGATGCTTTTGATGACGCCAGTGTGAGCATTGGAGAGCTGCTCAGATTTAACATTCACACCTTGAAACATTGAGCGGTCCCACATTGGCTTAACGAACTGAGAAACGTGTCCCTTAATTCAATCTTTGTCATTAATAATGACCGCTGGCTGTATGATCACTTTGGTACAGAATTAAACTCTTCATTTTTTTTTTCTTCACATTTATATTGGGCGAGTAGCCAGATTAATTTTCAAAGTCAAGGAATCTGTCCTGCATATTATATCTGGACAGGGGCAGACGTAAATTCCAGATGAGACTTGACACTGGCTGTAGACAGAGATAAATTGATGGTGTCTCCAGAGATTTGTCATCATATAAAGCCCACTTTTTACATCGGAAGTGATCAACGGCAGAGTGTGAAGTTGTCATCGTCAATTTGCCATTCAAGCTTCGACTCTGAGTGTTAATTAAAAAGTCAGCTAACGCCTAACGACAATCATGCTTCTAAGTTTCCGCCTCAGCTAATTCTTAATGCACAGCTTTTTATAGCTTTGTATAATGGAGTACCGCAGTGCATGGAAACTGATAAGTAAATAAAGATTTACTCAAAACTCCACATTAAACGCGAGTAAAGCGTTACCACAGGGGCACAGACAGTATTGGGAAAGCTCATTTTCTTTGCGAACTAGTTCAAAATTATGTCACAGTTCAGTCCATAATTCAAAACCAGTTTATCATTGAAACTATTTGAACTATGTTCATCGTTCCGAAAAAAGAATTATTTTTCTATTCTTTTTTTTTTCCTCCAATGTGATTCTATGAGATCTCACCCTACGATCTTAAATGCATTATACTTTTCAATGTTTTGCTTTTTTCTTTCTTTCTGGTGAATGTATTGACCAAAGGGCCTGGCTGTAACCCTTTAATATATTTTACGAAGGTCGGGGGTTCCACTTTTCTCAAAGGCTGCAGCTCTCTGACAATATACTGGAATGCCAGGTCTTCCAGTTGCAGCTGGGAGCTGACAAAAAAACCCCCACTACGGTGCGCCGTTAATGTGTCTTGGATCGGAAATGATCTGCTTCATCGAGCTGTTGCCATTTTTTTGACTGCACATGCCCCCAAAGCCTTGCAGGGTGCTTTAAAATGACAGTTTCACTGGTGATGTAATCGAAGGCCGCATTTTCTTTTTCAAACTTGGCATGCACATGTTGTGATAGACTGCTATTATAGTCTGATATCTACAATACTTTTTTTCATTTCACAAAGCGCTATTAGAGCCACACCGGAAAGAAAACACAAGAATGAGAAAATTATTCATTTATCATTACATAATTCTCACGAGGCGGCCCGGTGTCCAGTGGTTAACACGTCGACCTCACAGTGCAGAGGTCGTGGTTTCAATCCCAGCTCTGTCCTTCCTGTGTGGAGTTTGCATGCTCTCCCCGTGTCTGTGTGGGTTTTTTCCAGGTACTCCGGTTTACTCCCACATTCCAAAAACATGCATGCTAGGCTGATTGAACGCTCTAAATTGTCCCTAAGTGGGAGTGTGAACACGGATGGTTGTTCGTCTCTGTGTGCCCTACGATTGGCTGGCAACCGGTTCAGGGTGTCCCCCGCCTACTGCCTGAAGACAGCTGGGATAGGCTCCGGCATGCCACACCACCCTTGTGAGGATAAAGCGGATCAGAAAATGGATGGATGGATGGATGGATGGATGGATGGATGGATGGATGGATGGATGGATGGATGGATAATTCTCATTAAATGATGAGAAAAAAAATTGTAATGTTTATGAGACTCTCTTTCTACAGACCTGTCATATTCATTGGGTAATGTCATTGAATATACAGTACTGTAGTATTTGTTAAGCTTTTGGGTTGATTAGCATTTAATGACATCCAGCAGGTTAATTTTTAATTGTTTTTTTTTTCAGAAGAGGTCCCAGTTTTGATCAAATTACATGAAACTACTTATGGTGCAACCAAGGAAAAACGTTTCAAAACTCATTGTCTGTAAAGACAAGATAACATTAGAAAACAAAAACACTTCCCATACATTTACAGGTATGGAGAAAATGGCAGAACACTTTGATTTAGCTGGCATGGTCCCGACAATGTCACCGTCACAGCTCAGCTCAAATCGAAAGGATGATGACGATTAGACGTGAAATCACATTTCATCATCTCTGTCTCATTGTCTGCCTTTGCGTGTCAGCAGAGAATTGGCACTTTTGCTCGAGCGGTGATAAGTGAGGAAAGGCATTTAAAGGGAGTGTTAGAGCACCGCCGCTGTGCAAGTCCGATGATGATCCATTTGGATGAAGACAGAGCACTTGAGTCAATGACAAGTGTTCATATGGGATCCAAAAGAGAGACGGAGGTAACAGTGGAGGTTGCAAAACTCTTTTTTTAAAATTGAATTATAGTTTTAACGATTGCTGCTCATACCAGAGGAAGACAGGCAACGTGTCGGTGCTGTCAGAAAGTCTTCAACTGTACACTTGAATTAAATACAACCTCAGCATTTTTCACTTCTAGCTTGTATTTGATCGAGTCATCCGTAAGTGGCAGTGCCAGTAGACCAGCTGAATGCGTGATCAATTATAATTGAGTGCAGGGACGTAAGTGATGGATGTAAGTGAGTGTGTAGTTTGTAAAGCAGATAAATTACAGCCAAGGCAACTGCCAGCGGAGGAGTGGATCATTTAGCAAAATCAATCAATAATGGGACTCGCTCCATGATTTTTTACTCCAAAGCAATGTTGCTGGAAACGGTATAGACTATTTTTTATTTTGTCAAGTGGCTGCACACATTAGAATAACTTGGATTTTGATACTAGTCGTTTTAAGTAGATGTATAGTCGACTTAAAAAAACGTATCTGGATGCAAATGGTCTTTTTTCGAGTCAATTCAACGCATCATTTTTTGCAGCACGATACACTATCGACAACGATATTCTCAGTTCTTATTTATTCTTCACATGACATATACAGTAGCATTTAGTGTAGCATGCAGATCTCAAATAGGACTTGGGTCTTAAAGTGGACAGTGATTTTAAATTGGACCAGCAAATCGGTGCTGTTGTTAAATCCAGCTTCTTTCATCTTAACCAGCTTACTAAAGTCACATCATGGCTAGTTTACTGTAATGCACTTTGGAGTAAGCCAATCCTCCATTAAGCTTCTCCAGTTGGTCCAGAATGCTGCTGCTCACTTCTTAACTGTCAAGAGGGAGCACATAACTCCTACTCTGGCATCCCTTCACTGGCTCCCGACACTTCATCGAGTTTGGCTTTTGTCTCAGCATAAGACTTGATTTTTAGTTTTACTGTTTTTGTGCTTTCGAATGTCTTCATTATTAATTTATTGTTTTGTCGTTTGTTGTTGTGTGAATTATTTTTGCTCCATGTATAGCACTTTGTATACAGCGGTGGTTGTTCTAAGGTGCTTTATAAATACAGTTGAGTTGAGTTGAGGATTCATGGAAAGAAACAGGAGAGTAAACGATCTGAATTTTGATCATCGGCAAATTGTACACCTGCACTTATTTATACATGCTTGATTTTATGAATAATATTCAGATCTTGCGATTCTGTTGCGCGCTTAGTCTATCTATTGTCTTTTGTTGAACATGTCAAGACTGAGCCAATGGTTTGCTTTGACATGACACAAATATTATTTGCAAAATGTGCAGTTTTGGGTTTTCTCAGAAAGATTCTAAGCATATATGCACATAAATGTAAAGGTCAGTCTGAGAGGAATGGAAGAAAATTACATCCGTATGAGATCTGTGAAAGTGAAGGAGTGGAAGGTGTTACCACTAAAAAGATGGGAACCACTCCATATTTTCATTTCCTATCCATGTGATTACCTGTTTTATACATTCACCTGATGTACTGAGGGTTCTTCTTGCTGCAAAGTGTAAATGTCTTCTTTCATCGTTGCAGTGGTGGAACTGTCCTGACAGTGAGTGGGACCAACCTTGCAACAATCCGGGAACCAAAGATAAGGGCCAAGTATGGGCAGGCAGAGTCTTTTCATGTAAGTATGATTGTGACACACAAACTCTCACCCACTCGAGTTCCCCATTTTATTTTTTATTTAGTTGTTTGTTTAAGAGCGAGTATCAGCAACGGGATGGCGACGGCTATGCCGCATTACAAGGGAAACTACTTTCAATGCACGATCATTGTGTGGTTTGAATTATTGACTTCATCTCCTATCCTTACAGAAATTTGAATTATGAATTAAAATCCACATCTTAGCGCAGGTGCTTGCACAGGCTGTTTGCAAGCGCAGATATCTGCTCAAGTTCTATACACGTACATTATTTACTCCCAAACGAGCATAATCTGTCAGATTCACAAGGCACAGTCATCATTCCCCCAGCGTCTTCTGCTTGAGGTGTCAGAAAGTGTGTTGATCACTTGTTCTCTTCTGTTTCAACCTCAGGCCACATTCCAAAGGTCAGTGTGCCACATGATTCTCAACTCGATTCATTTATTTACATGCCACTTTCATAACAGCTGCATCTGCTATAATTCTGTCACAAAATGAGATAAACAACGACAATAATGCTTTTGTAAAAAATAAATAAATAAATAACATAATATAAATTAATAAGTCACTGATGGTGTAGTGATACACTCGCCTGACTTGTGTGCCGGCAGTGTGGGATCGGTTCTCACTCAGTGGATGTGGATGTGAATGGTTGTTCCTCTCTACATGTGATCTACGACTGACTGGCAACCAGTTCAGGGTGGAGTCCGCCTTTCGCCCCAAGTCACCTGGGATTGGCTCCAGCATGCCCCGCGACCCTATTCAGGATAAGCCGTGTTGAAAATGGATGGATGGATGTCAATTAATTTGTTAAAACAATACATTAAGTCAAATCGTGGGACAAATAAAGGTTATCTTATCTTATTTTCTCATGGACAAAAAAAGAATTATGGACCTTTTGTTGTTGTTGGCACGTTTACGTTAAGCCACACTGGTAAATACTAACCAGTGGTAATTGTGCCATTGATATGTGACAAAGAAATAGGCAGTCGTACAGCAATGTTAGCATTGTTCAACTAACTTCTTGTGTTCTCTTTCTGTCTTTCTCATTTACAGAACTGTACGGTGTACAACAACTCAGTCATGGTCTGCCTCGCTCCATCTGTGGCAGACTCTGAGCTGGGCTTTTCTGAAACCGGCACGGGTCCTGATGAGATTGGATTTTACATGGACAATGTGAACTCCTTGGTGGTGGTCAATGAGACTTTCAGCTACTATCCCGACCCTGTGTTTGAACCGCTCAGCTCATCGGGGATAATGGAGCTCAAACCAACATCTCCACTGATACTGAAGGTCAGAAATGCAGCTTGATTTATTCTCTTTTCGATATTTTTTTTTTCCAGTCGTACACTAAGATAATTTGCTACACAGTAAAAATCTAGACGTTTCACTCCAAAAATCTTCCATTTTAGTAGGGGACAAAACCATAATGCTGGGTTTATACTGTGTTCCTGGTGGCCACAACAGCACCCACTGTTTGCCTCAAACATCGTGCGCTGTGGCCTTTTGACCATTTTTTTCCCCCTCCTTGTCAAGTTTTGTCATGGTGCATCATTATCTCTGTGGATGGGCCATTTGGCGAAGGAGCTGCTGAGTCCTGGAGGCTCACAGGCGCACCCTGGTTCTCCCGTGGTCAAACACAGGTGCCAGTAATTTCCCTCACAGCCCATCATATTTCTGATGGGATCTTTTAGATTGCTCACGCTAAGATCAAGTTATGATGTTTTTCACGTTCTATAAAGGCTTTATACAAATGAAACATGGCACTGGGCAACTTTGGAATAAATTTGTGGCCACGGCAGTCTCGAAAAATCTCGATAAAGCTACCCTGTGAAACCACCTCCCAGACCGCGAGCACCGTGTCAAACCACCACCCGCTGTATTGCACTAGTCCTGTAAATTGTTACCCAACTGGAAGTGCCGTAATTGAAGAAAGAAAGCATGTTCTGTATTGATGGCATATTCTTTTTCGTTGACAAAAAAAAAAAAGAAAACTTTATGAAAATCGGTCGACAAATGAGCAAGTTATGACATGCATGGACGTTTTCAAGATACATGCATTGCCTTTGATGGGAACGTTGCCGCTACGTAGGAAGGTAGTTTAGCTGGGCTGCTACTGAGTGCTGGGGTTTCATCTCAACTCAACTGTATTTATAGAGCACTTTAAAACAACCACCGCTGTATACAAAGTGATGTACATGGAGCAAATATCATATATACAACAATAAACAATAAAAACAAAAAAATAATAACGAAGACAGTACAAAGCATGGTTTATGGTTGAAGCACTTTGTGAATAGAGCGGTATAATAAGATCCTAGCTTGCCAGTCACTGGCATGATTAAAAAGTGTGTCAGGAAAAAAACAATCAGCAAAAACCTCTATAACAAAAATACTAAACCGGAATCTACACGGCCAAGAACGACTACGAACATGAGCAAGAAGGTCTACAAAATAACACTTGAGGCAGTACAACGAGCAAGGTCAATAAACGACCATGCAGCTCGGCAGTCCTTAAATACATGGCAGGCTTGATTGGTAAACACGGAACAGGTGCGCCTGCTGGAGGGAAACGCCCTTCACTCCAGCTGGACCGGGAACAAAACAAACGCAGGACATGACAGTAAATATGCTTCCTGTCCAAATACGGACAACCGACAAATTTTGTGACAGTTTAAAAATTTGGTTAGGGTTCTACCACAAACACAACTTGTCATGTTTGCCCCCCATGTTGTCTCACATCCATCTTGTTTAGTCCACGGTGAACTGAAAAGTGATTGCTGTTGTCACCGGGGAACACAATGTAAACATAAAATAGCACAACTTACCAAATGTAGATTGTACATGTAAATGACATTTTCATAGTGTCACAAACACAGGTCGTCCTTGGTTTACAGGAGAGTTCTGTTCCAAGTATCGGGTGACGTAAAGGCGAAGTCACAATCTGTTGTAGTCTATCATCACCGACCTATGCTAATGCAGTCGTAAAGTCAGGATTACAGCAATATGTGCATGAAAAGCAATTATTGGCTCGCAAAAAAGTCACAAAATCTCCTTATGGATTACACGATCGAGGAGATCGGATTATTCTTTCGGCAGTCCTTAAATACATGGCAGGCTTGATTGGTAAACACGGAACAGGTGCGCCTGCTGGAGGGAAACGCCCTTCACTCCAGCTGGACCGGGAACAAAACAAACGCAGGACATGACAGTAAATATGCTTCCTGTCCAAATACGGACAACCGACAAATTTTGTGACAGTTTAAAAATTTGGTTAGGGTTCTACCACAAACACAACTTGTCATGTTTGCCCCCCATGTTGTCTCACATCCATCTTGTTTAGTCCACGGTGAACTGAAAAGTGATTGCTGTTGTCACCGGGGAACACAATGTAAACATAAAATAGCACAACTTACCAAATGTAGATTGTACATGTAAATGACATTTTCATAGTGTCACAAACACAGGTCGTCCTTGGTTTACAGGAGAGTTCTGTTCCAAGTATCGGGTGACGTAAAGGCGAAGTCACAATCTGTTGTAGTCTATCATCACCGACCTATGCTAATGCAGTCGTAAAGTCAGGATTACAGCAATATGTGCATGAAAAGCAATTATTGGCTCGCAAAAAAGTCACAAAATCTCCTTATGGATTACACGATCGAGGAGATCGGATTATTCTTTATTATTGACTGTCATCAGAGACAAGTAACTTAAAACGAAACATTTTTTTGTGTGTCGTTAAAACATCACTTAGAGTCAACCGGTGTCCCTATTTTGTATCCATTTTGCATGTGTGTCGTAGTCGATGTAAATACTTTCATAATAACGCGAGCGCATGCATGAGCGTGTGCTTGTGCGTGTTATTCTTCGATGGAACGGAGGATGTTTACAAGGTTGCGGAGTGGGTTACGGGCTCCTGCGGAGACAATGGGATTACAAAGGGGAGTGTGTCTCTGTGTCCCACTGCTAAAGCAACAGGAGACACGGAAGCCATCGCCTCTCACTCACTTCTCTCAAGTCCCACGTATGATTTCTTTTATAGACTATTCACTTCACTTTCCTGAAGTTACTTGCCAGGTTTCATGTTGTGTTGCATTCATCTTCCTCCACTTGTAGCTTACTTCCCGTCTTCCTTCAAAAATTAAAAAAAAAAAAAAAAAAGGCATGTGCAGAAATTAACTGAGGCTTCTCAGTCCAGTCATGTTGCAGTGTGAAAATGAAGTCCAGCTCACCCGTTGACCTGAATGAGGACAAGCGCTCCAGAAAACGAATGGCTGGATATTGTTCATGAATGCGTTTGGTTTTTTTTTTTCCCCTCAATGTATTTGTCCTTGCCTTCGTTTAGGGTCGCAACCTGATCCCAGGTAACAGTCGTCTGAACTACACGGTCCTCATCGGAGAAACTCCCTGCGTTCTAACCCTGTCTGAGAGTCAATTACTGTGCGAGTGGCCCAACCTCACCGGACAACATAAAGTCACGGTCAGTGCAACTTTGTGAGGCACGGTCGGTCAATGTTTCAAGATGACACAAATTATGCAACCACAGTGTGTTAAAAAAAAAAAAAAAAAACCAACAATACATTATGTGGACGAAGAAGCTTTTCCTGTCTTCCATGCAGTTTCCTGGAACCTTTTCGGTCTGATTCTAAAACAATTCGAGAATGTTTTTTTTTTACAATTGTATATGTTTAATTTTGTATACTGAAATGATGACGATATTGTCTTAATCACAAATGATCGTATTTTCCGCACTATGAGGTGTATAAGGCACATCTTCAGTGAATGGCCTGTTTTAAAACCGGTTTCATATGAAGGGCGCACCGCAATATAAGGTGCATAGAATATAAGCTACAATAGAGGCTGAGGTTGCGTTATGCCTCCACTAGATGGAGCTACATTAAAGGGAATATAATAAAATACAGCTTTATTTCTATTGAGCTGTCACAACCACTGCAGCTGTAACAAAGCGCTTTACAGAACATTTAAAATACTACGTCCAAGAAATCAGAATATTGATCCATATATAAGGTGCATCGGATTATAAGGCACACGGCTTTTAAGAAAATTGAAGGCTTTTAGGTGGACCTTATAGTGCGGGAAATACGGTACTCAGTGCAAACTCTGTATCTATTTAATTGAACCTATGACTGATTCTTTTGTATAAATGGCACGAGGTGGATACACCGGTTCATTGTACCTTTTGCCATTTAATGGAAGAGCAAAAAATAATTCTGCCCGTCAGTATATATCGCTGGAATAGACGAATGAAAAAAGAAACATTTATAATTCATGCATCATTATTTTCTGATGAAGTAAGTTTGGATAATTTCTTGCGGTGCCCCTGATGACCTGTCATGGCACATTGGTTGGTAATCACTGCCATACTAAATAGCATGTTGGTGCTGTGTCAGAAATGTACTACGTCTAGAATGCGTCACATTTGGGCTTCTGCTACATATGTTGCACATGCACACGCCCGTACATAGGAAGCATTTTTTTTTTTTTTTTTGCGTGGGTTGTAAGTAAATCGTATCGTAGTATTCTGTGTTATTTCACCATTTCAAGAGGTTGAACCGATTTTTCTTCTCATCAAACGGAGATTTAACAATTCCTTTTCAGTTGTTTCACATGCACTGATTCAATTCAGATGGGGATCATTTCACAGGCTTCAAGTTGAATATATTTTGTACAAAATCTCTCCGGTGCACCGTACATTTGATCTGTTGTGTCCTCCATGACTTCATCATTGTTCCTCTCTGTAACAACCTGCTGGGCTGAAGTATGTTCAAATTGACCTCCTTCATGTTTATGCATTTAGAAACTATTCCCATCTGACAATGTCAGCACATAATGTCACTCTAACCTTGCTGTTGAATTATGGGAAGAAATCCTCGTGGCTTTCCCCAACGATTTCCTCTGACAGATCCAGGTTCCGCTTCACTGAGCTGGCACACCAAGGTGGCTGTTAAATATGTAATGCTTAATTAACAGGGTTAACTTCGCAGGTTTCCGCCTCGCCTGTTGCTGAGCATCGGGTAGGCCTGACGGAAGTCTTGTTTTTAAGAAAAGTGCCACAGAGCCATGCTACGCTTTTGATGTTTTCATCCGTGAGGGCTGAAGGGGGTGCGCGTCTCGTTGAATGAACCTTCACACTATTTGCAGGTGTAAAAAAGACGAAAAAATTTCTTGCTATTCGGTGAAGCGTATTCGCATCATCAACCGTGAACGCGTCAGTGGTTCTTCGCAACAGGTGCCGCTTGTTGTTAAGTTCCCCCGTGTACTCTGTTATTCCAACATCTGTATTAGTTTTAGTCCATTTTATATACAGGGAATAAAATGAGCATAACCATCAATAAGGTGTTTTTGTTTTGTTTTTGGATTGGTGCTGGGAGTAATAACTGACGTGAATGATTGACATAGTAGATCGAGCAATGAATAGGAAGCAATGGTCAGTACCCAAGACTGGGTGACAGAACCGACCAATCAAGCTGCTGTCATTATTGATTGACATGTCGTTCAGCCAGTGACGATATGAACAGTGAGTGAGATGTCAATCAGTAATGAAGCAGAGGTTTTGAAATTCAGAGACTGCCAGAAGCCTGAGTCAGAGCTAAACATCGTATGAAATATTTTTTGAGAAGAAATGCTTTTTGGGAGATCCTAATAAGCTGACATGACATGACGGAGGAATCACAGCCAAGTCATTTTCACACATTCATGTGAAGTCTGAACTGTTTATTTTATTTTTTTATTTTTTTTACACGTGTCAAAAACCAATGCAACTTTTTCTTTTTTTTCTCAAGTATCCACAGTGTGAATGACGTCAATGTCACTTTCATCACGTTAGTATCAGAAAGCCAACACAAACAAGCTTCGTAAGTGCAGCCCACAGCAAGCGCCGAGCGGTACTTGCTTCTAACTGTCACCGCGCCGCAGACGTTCTTCTCTGATTCGCTCTGACTGCAGCAGACTTTAAAAATCAGCGCATCTCACGCTGAAGAAAGTCAACCTCAGGCAGACGACACAGCCCCCACTCGAATATATTTGGATGTATGTCTGAATATTTGTGCACCCACTCACCCCACCTCCCCCATGCCCCTTTTTAAACTTATAGCCAATGTCCTCTCACAACGGCCTCGCTTTATCTTTTTGACATTTGTTCCCTGCCGGTGACAGCCAATATGCCACCAAATCCAAATGACAGCACATCCATTTAATTCATCGTGATAGCTCTCAACGGCATCAACCAGCCAGCTCCAAGGTGGAACAACGTATTAAAAATCCTCACATGCAACACTCTTGCATTAAATGTTGCAAAGGTGTTGTGGTTGCGGTTGAGGCTGACCATCTTTTGATAGTACCCCAACAAAAACCCTATGCCTTCACTTCCGTGTCGATAAGCATCGACTTTTTATGTGCTCATGTGCACTGGCGAGTACTTTTGTACATGTGTGTTAAAGTGCACATTTATGCATGTGTTGCACGTGACACTGCGGAGAGGGACGCAGCTGTTGCACAAAGATGTTCCCCGAGTAGAATGACCTACATGCAGGGGACCCCAATGGGCGTCCAAACATACACAGTTTGTGTGGGTGTCAGTGAGGTCCCCACAATGTGTGTGTGTGTGTGTGTGTGTGTGTGTGTGCGTGCGTGTGTGTCAGCCAGGCTTTGCGTGTCCCTTCTGACGCTCAGCTGCGTGTTGGCAGCTGCATGCCTCCCTCGAGTTTTTCGAAGAAACTCGTTTGTTGTTTTGGCCTACAGCTTTTTCGTTCCTCCATCAGTTCTTCAGTCTGTCACAAGAGTAAAAATAGACACTGACTTTGAAAATGTGTGACCCAACCTCGTTGAGATGCCTGCGCCCGCGCGGCACTCGCATCATCTGAGGAGCTACAGTATCGTCAACCACGGTTGATCGTAAAACAATAAAATGTTCTACGTCCGCTTTGATAAGAGATGACTGCTTTGCTAGGTGAGAGGACGCTTCACTTGCTTCAACTTTCATTGTTATATTCTCTTTCCTTCTTCTTTGTGTTTAGTACGCCTTGTTGAGGGTGCACCTTCATTCGGCGTATGTGTGGCAAAAAAAAAAAAAAAAAAACATGCAAATCTTAGAGATTGAACATTAATAATGCTCAAGCACAGACCTCTAACCATTAGCCTCCGGTGCATAGCGCACCCCCTAACAGTGGCTACCGCCACCCAATATTTGTCTATTTCATTTGATATAAGGTATTGTATATTGTAACCTAATAAGATGATAAGCTGTCCACTGTCGTGACTGCTGTCCCTGGAAGGGTTAAAAGTCAACTTTATAGCCTGTCAATTTCTGGATCAAAGATACATTGCTGTTGTTGGGTTTTTTTTTGCTTTGTTTTGTTTTAATGAATTAATAAAAACATGTGAATAACTGCTATTTACAGAGCCCGTTCGGCGCAGCCAGTCTGGATGATAGCTAAAGGCACTTTGGTTTGATCAGCTCTTGACATATGTCGGATAAGTAGCATTGATTTGCGGGGAGAAAAAAATGTCTCGCTACAACAAAAACCAGTGACGCCTGCGTCAGATGTGAATTCACAACACATCTTGTGAGTTTGAGCGGCTAAGTAGTCTGAAAGGTTAGTTTCATGAGCATGCCATTCTCGTCTTTTTATTGTCTTTTCAACTCACTGATAACCGTCTGCGTCGTCCGAAGCTGTTGCACGTGTCTCTCTTTGTGCTAATTTGATTTGTACGCACACACAACATACGTAGATAGTGATGTTACACTTTCTGCTTTGATTTTTTTTTCTTCTTCTTCTAATTAGACATGAAAGTTCACTTTCAAGAACTTCAAAGTGTATAATCATTATTCATTTGAGTCGTGCATCAACCCCCCCAGTGGATGGCTTGATTTGATGGATTCCCATGCTGTGTGTTTCTTTATTTACTGAGATAAACTATTCTAATGCAAACGTACTTACTGAGTGCCGGAAAAAAAAACAAAAACACAAAAAAACATACGTGTTTCACTTTTCTTAATTGCCACGGCTGCTTGGGGAGGTATTTAAATGCAGCTAATTACTCTGTTTGATTACTTTTAATGTGGGTGAATATGCTTTATGCAGCGTTTTTCTTCACTTTGTCTCGCTTGAATAACTTCATGTCACTCTTATCTGATTTCTTGCTGGTGTTTTGACTTCATAAGATGTATTTTTAGCATGAGGCTGCAATATTTCTTTATGTCGCTACAGTATACTCTATGTATAAAACAAATCCATTGCATATTTGTTAGCACGGCATATGAATTGTGTCTGCAACATTCAGCTTTCGTTCAAAGTCAGCTGCTGAAGGATCAAGCTCACCCGTGACCTTCAACAAGTGTCACAAAATGGCATCGATGTTTCCGTAACAAATGAACTCCATTTTCTGGACCCTTCTCATTGAGCTCGATTCCATCACCAACAATGTTCAACAGTTCACAATTGGTTCTTTTAAATTCTATCCACCTCCAGACCAGAGATCATGAACAAAGCTGAGAAAGTCATCTGTTGAGATCTTCATCTACCACAGCCTGAAGCATCTCCCCTGCAGGCAAAAAAAAAATAAATTTAAAACTCAAAACGTTCCTGGCAAAGAGATTCCACAGTAATTAAGGTGATGTAAGGCTCCCCAAGCACGCGCCTGTCAAAGTTGGGCCTCCACACTGACTACAGAGGAGATCAAAATTTCATGATTCTTGAGGAAGAAAATGGGTCAAACAACTTTGCTTTCATCCGACCACCGAGTTTCGATCTCCTTAGACCGACGACTATTCCCCTCCAACCATCTGCTGCCGTCAGATGAACTCGTGCCTGCTCCTGTGCTTATTTTCGTCTTGATGAACTCGACTCCCGAGAGAAACAGAAAATACATTCACGGAAAAGTAAATAATTAGCAAGATGCTTTTCCCGAATGATCCTTTGAGCGGCGCCGTGAATGGTCAATTCTGATGAGGAAGCTTCCGAGCGTTTGCTTGCATCATATGGAACAGTCGCTTGAACTTCTGTGTACATTTCAATCATTAAAAATGCTCTTTGTGCATTTTCAGATCCGAGCCGGCGGATTTGAGTACTCCCCGGGTACCCTTCACATCTACTCGGATAGTTTGTTGACCCTGCCTGCCATCATCGGCATCGGAGGTGGCGGTGGGATGCTGTTATTGGTAATCGTCGCCGTGCTGATAGCCTACAAGAGAAAGTCAAGAGACGCCGACCGCACCCTGAAACGTCTTCAGCTCCAGATGGACAACTTGGAGTCCAGGGTGGCCCTGGAATGTAAAGAAGGTAGAGGGCAGCGCACATTGCAGCTTTGCTAAAAATGGAATTCGCATTTTCAAATGAAATTCCTGATACCGTAGAGTGGAATGTGTGATGCATTCCATTCTGGGAGGTTTGGGTTGGCCAACAGTGGGGTGGTGAGGTGGGGACGGGGCACGGGGGCTCCCCATACAAAATCAGGTGGACAAAAGTCCCTCTGGGTCAAACTGTCACCTTCATAAAAATTTTGCACTGCTTGGGCTAATCTGGTTTCACATGAGTGGATAAAGACATGAATGGCTCTCAATAACAAAACGTAAAATAAAAAAATTGAAATCTATATTTTAACCCTTTCATGAACCCTGTAACCTGACAACATGGTAAGCTTTCCACTGGAGTGTGACCGCTGTCCAAAGGAATGACTTGTCGCCGTGAATATTCGCATCACGTCATTTGTTCTGAATCACAAAATTTAAAAATAAGTTCATGACTGATAAAAACAGGCGGTCCGGTGGTTAGCGCGTTGACATCACAGGGCAGAGGTATCGGGTTCGATCCCAGCTCCGGCCTTCCCGTGTGGAGTTCCATCCTGCCTGGGTTTTCTCCAGGTCCTCCGATTTCCTCCCACATTCCAAAAACATGCATGGCAGGCTGATTGAACACTCCAAATTTTCCCGAGGTGTGAGTGTGAGCGCGGATGGTTGTTCGTCTCCGTGTGCCCTGCGATTGACTCGCAACCGGTTCAGGGTGTCCCCCGCCTACTGCCCGAAGACAGCTGGGATAGGCTCCAGCACCCCCTGCGACCTTTGTGAGGATAGAGCGGTTCAAAAAATTGGATGGATGGATAGACTGATAAAAATCAGAAAACAATTGTGCATTTATCTTTAAATAGAGTGAGTGACTATAAGCGCCAATGTAAACGATCTCACTCGAGTCATACCGCTTTGAACGTGGTTCGGCTCATTTCACGTGTCTTCTGGCGCGTGTTCTTCTTCTCTTCTCACCTTTTTTTTCTTCTTCCCTTCTCGCATTCCCCTCGTTGAAGCTGACTCATCATCTGGAATAAGTGTTTAAAAAAAAAAAATACAAAAACATTTACATCGATGGGAAAACACATTCTGTGCACATCGTAAAGAACCCATTCTGCCGTCTGCTCTCCCAGCTGTCCTTTAGAAATGCAAAAACGCGTGTGGGCGGAGAAACAGATAAAAGAGGCGGAGGGCGTGTCGTTCAATCATCAGCTAGCCATAATCAGAAGCGCCCATTGCAACATTGACCATGTGAAAGTAACATCTGAGCAGACATGAATAAATAATCATATATTAGAAATGACCAAGGCAGACCATTTAATGAACAATTTTCAAGTATTCTAAAAGGTAATGTCGATAGCTGTTTCAATGCCTTCGCCATCCAGCAGATGCACTAAAATACTGTCGCAAATAACGACAAAGTGAGGCTTTGGAGACAATCGTATTCATTCGCGACATCTATACAATTTAATCACGAATTAAATTGAACAATTATGAAATTTGAAATGCATTTCACTTTTATACAACAGTCAAATGTATGTGTTGTATATTCCCCTCCCTCCCCCTCCCCAAAGCTTTTGCCGAACTCCAGACCGATATTCACGAGCTCACACAAGAACTGGATGGCGCCGGAATTCCCTTCTTGGACTATCGGACATACGCTATGAGGGTGTTGTTCCCAGGCATTGAGGACCACCCTGTGCTCAAGGAGATGGAGGTACGGGTCAGTACATCACCATCTCATCTTCAAATTAAACCATACTAACATGGGATGGAACCAATTTCTAGGCTGCTGCACTGATGAACTAATATTAGTTTGCATCATTTAGCGCGGATGGTTGTTCGTCTCCGTGTGCCCTGCGATTGACTCGCAACCGGTTCAGGGTGTCCCCCGCCTACTGCCCGAAGACAGCTGGGATAGGCTCCAGCACCCCCTGCGACCTTTGTGAGGATAGAGCGGTTCAAAAAATTGGATGGATGGATAGACTGATAAAAATCAGAAAACAATTGTGCATTTATCTTTAAATAGAGTGAGTGACTATAAGCGCCAATGTAAACGATCTCACTCGAGTCATACCGCTTTGAACGTGGTTCGGCTCATTTCACGTGTCTTCTGGCGCGTGTTCTTCTTCTCTTCTCACCTTTTTTTTCTTCTTCCCTTCTCGCATTCCCCTCGTTGAAGCTGACTCATCATCTGGAATAAGTGTTTAAAAAAAAAAAATACAAAAACATTTACATCGATGGGAAAACACATTCTGTGCACATCGTAAAGAACCCATTCTGCCGTCTGCTCTCCCAGCTGTCCTTTAGAAATGCAAAAACGCGTGTGGGCGGAGAAACAGATAAAAGAGGCGGAGGGCGTGTCGTTCAATCATCAGCTAGCCATAATCAGAAGCGCCCATTGCAACATTGACCATGTGAAAGTAACATCTGAGCAGACATGAATAAATAATCATATATTAGAAATGACCAAGGCAGACCATTTAATGAACAATTTTCAAGTATTCTAAAAGGTAATGTCGATAGCTGTTTCAATGCCTTCGCCATCCAGCAGATGCACTAAAATACTGTCGCAAATAACGACAAAGTGAGGCTTTGGAGACAATCGTATTCATTCGCGACATCTATACAATTTAATCACGAATTAAATTGAACAATTATGAAATTTGAAATGCATTTCACTTTTATACAACAGTCAAATGTATGTGTTGTATATTCCCCTCCCTCCCCCTCCCCAAAGCTTTTGCCGAACTCCAGACCGATATTCACGAGCTCACACAAGAACTGGATGGCGCCGGAATTCCCTTCTTGGACTATCGGACATACGCTATGAGGGTGTTGTTCCCAGGCATTGAGGACCACCCTGTGCTCAAGGAGATGGAGGTACGGGTCAGTACATCACCATCTCATCTTCAAATTAAACCATACTAACATGGGATGGAACCAATTTCTAGGCTGCTGCACTGATGAACTAATATTAGTTTGCATCATTTAGCAATATGCTCGTTGCATATTTTCTGAATGAAAATGATGTTCACAGTAATTATTATCCAATAGCGGTATACAGTATACCAATAACGGTCAAATCTGAGGTTTGAGGCAAGATGAAAAGTCACACTTTGTTCATCTTAATCACACATCCTCTCCTTCATCTTAATATCTCCGGTTTCCTCTGTGAATGCAAATGACTAATCTCATCATTAGTGGGAACTCGTGGGACAGACATGCACCATATTCTCGTCTTAATGCCGGGAGGGAGGGTTTCCAGCATCTGACCGAAAAAAAAAAAAATACCCTCAATAAATCTGTTGAAAAAAAGAATACGCATTCATGCAGTGAAAGGAAAAGGGTCAAATTTGGGGTTTAACATGCATTAAAAAAATCTAAATCTAACCGTTATGAATGAAGAAATGACATGCTATGCTATCAGTAGTAAACCGAGCATGGAATGGTGCATCCCAACACGAATTGCTTCATTTAAACATTGTGGATCTAGACACTGGAGTTTGTAATCCGTGGCATGCTGAAGAGTTAGAATCACGACATGCAATTTCCCAATCAACTGTGAGTGAAACCAGTTTGTTTGGAAATTTGCAACCGTGTTGACAATGCAAAACAAATGGACAACCATACGTCGAACAAAAGATAATGCAGGCGAGTAGGCCCACCGTGAGCTCCAGCTGAAGCCTGACAAGTGTGTCGGCGGACTTAATGACTGACTTAGATTTCAAGTGATTTCTTAATGCATTTATGTCGATCATGTAAAGCACGAAAGCTCTCGGAGGAATTAATTTTCTCCGAGCGGCTCTCCAAGTGAAAAAGATTGTAGAGCTCTGCGTCGTTTAGCTCAGGCGTTCGTCATCCAAGTGTGCCATCGTTCCCTTTTCTCTCTTCCTGAAGAATCAACAGATGTGGGCTTCTTGATTATTGAATGGAACATGAATGTGCAATAACATTTTGCCTCGTAACACGTCGCTTTATTTTCACTTTGAAGAGTGCCTCACACAGGCCAGGAAAGAATCGAATCGCTCGCAAAGCATCTTTATCTCGAGCTACTAAGCAGCAAATGTAGTATTTATTCATTATCTAACAATAATAAGCACAGACCAGTGTGGAAATTATGGCCGGACAAAGCCAAATAGTGGATGTTTAGTGACTATTGTAAGAATGTCTTTTTCAAGAGAAACTGGAACAGAAACAGACTATTTGGCAACTTGGTTTGCTGTTTTAAAAACAAAATGCAGTTTGGTTGTAAAATTTAACTGTGGTTAATTGTACTTTATAGCATCCCACTCCAGTCCAAACCATCTATTGGTTGTTGATGAGTAAATTTGAATGCATAACCGCGGGGAGAGCCGACGGAGCAAATTAAACTTGCAATCTTTTATCTCCAAATTTTGGTGTGTTGGTGTGTCAGTGGGCGGACCGGTGGACCAGTGGTTAGCGCGTTGACCTCACAGTGCAGAGGTCGGGGTTCGATCCTGGCTCCGGTATTCCTGTGTGGAGTTTGCATGTTCTCCCCGCGCCTGCGTGGCAGGCTGATTGAACACTCGGAATTGTCCCTAGGTGTAAGTGTGAGCGTGGATGGTTGCTCGTCTCTGCGTGCCCTGCGATTGGCTGGCAACCGGTTCAGGGTGTCCCTCTCCTATTGCCCGAAGACGGCTGGGATAGGCTCCAGCACACCACGCGACCCTTGTGAGGATAAAGCAGTTTGGAAAATGGATGGATGGTTGGTGTGTCAGTATGTCTTTACACCCAAAGCACATCCTCAGTTTTAACAAAAAAAAAGCTGACAACAGTTAAAAAAAAGGATTAATGATTTACATCTGTTTCAGATGCATTATATAATTTCATTACTTGTGCCGTGCTGTTGTGAATTGCTCTCACAGTATCAAAATAAAATTGACTATTTATGAGACTAAAAGTATGACACGGTTACGAATCACAGTGATGCTGACGTTGTCGGAAAACAGTTTTTAACTGTGACATTGTGCTTATCTTTTGGTTTTCACTTCCTCCAAAACGCACGTTAAGCCCACGTTGCTCGCACCGCCATCCGCCCAAATAACAACTGTCGGCGCATGCTCCCAATTTTAACTAACGTTAAGTTTGAGCGATGTGGTTGAGGTGAGGGCGGCGAGAAGTGACGGCCACAATTACTGAATTGATAAGAAATATGGCAAAACATTTTGCACAAGCAGAGCCTGGAATGGTGCAGGGTGAACAACTGTCAGCAATTTTGTACACAAGCTTGACAAGATGCGAAATCCCTCGATCCAAATGTGAAACTCGACATGGTCCTATTAAGTTGAGGTATACAGGAATGCTTACGTGCTTTACAGTTATGTCTTAGACTTCCTTTTCCTCGGTATTTCCCAATGGGTTATGCGTGTAATCCGGCGGCCCGTGGAAACTCACGCCAGCGGCTTTATTGCTCTGTGTGAAGTACCTCTCCCTAAAGACAGAGCAGCTACGCTCTACTTATACACGTACGGACATTACATACACACAACCGGGCTCGCAGATAAGCACAAACCTTTTCTCACTCGAGGTTGATATATTTTTATATTTTTTGGGGGGTGTTGTCGCTAAATCACACAATCAATACTTACACTACGTAAATCGTGCCAGGATTCTCATTTAGTGCTCTCGAGACAGACCTCGACACTTCATTATAGCACATCGCGGGAGACGATGCGGTGCCAAAAGGATGATGGCACGAGAGGTAGAAACAGTGGGTTCGTTCATGCACGTGAAAGAGGAAAAACACACAAAAAAAAAAACAGTGAGGGATTAAAACAGAATGACCAAAGAGACCATTCGAGAAGGAGGTGGGCGGGAGCCAGTGGTTGACAGACAGCCATCTTTGGGGTGTTTAGTGTGTTGTGCTTGAGTGGTGACAGGCGCAAGCCAGTGGGACGAGCGAGCGTGTCACCGTCTCTGACACAAACACGTACAATCACGTTACGCCTCAATGCCTTTTTCACTCCTTTTTTTTTTTTTGCTTTCTCTTCACAAGGAAGCTGTTGTGGTTGTTGATGCGTTCTCAAAATTCAACATTTTTCGAAGTCATGTCACCATTTCTGAAAAAGGATTGATCATTTTAGACATTTGAGCACATTCACGTTGCCCAGTAGTCTTATTTCACTTTTGGCTGAACCCGACTGTATTTAGGGGCTCTCCACAGTGAGTTTTCCTCTACCGTCCATCTATCCGTGTCTTGTGCATCCTCTGCTCTAACTGCAGCTACGGTATCTACAATTCTTCCCTCACCCCATTCACAAATCTCCTCTTTAGTCTTTGCCTGGCAGCTCCATTTCCGGCATCCTCCCACCGATATATCTCCAGTGTCCTTCCTCGGTTGAAACACGTCCTTTCTCTGTCCAAAACATTTCGATCTGGCCTTTCCAGATTTGTCTCCGAACCTTCCAATCTGTGCTGACCCTCTTCTTGATCCCGTCCATTCTCTTCACAAGAGAATCTCAGCAATCTCACCTCCGCCACCTCCAGCTCTGCCTCCCGTCTTCTGCCCATTGCTACCGTCTCTAGACCAACCATACAACCGGTCTAACTCCCGTCCGATGAACCTTTTCTTTCACTTCAGTTGCTGCTCTTTTGTGACAGATCGCCCTTGACACTTTCTTCCACCCACTCCATCCTGCCTGTACTCCCTTCTTTGCCTAACCTCCACATTCCAATTTGCTTTGAACAGATGGTCCCAAGTACTGTATGCATGCATGTGTGTGAAACCGTTGTCCACAAAAATGGACACGGGATCCTTTTTTCAGATTTTGAAATGAAAAAAAATCATCTTGGTGACTTTCCAATTCTCTGTTGATGTACACATTTATTTTGTTTTGTTTCTACGATGTCAGTGTGCACTTTTACCTTTTAACAGATTTTTAAAAATATTTTTTAGTATTGGGCGACACGGTCGTAGTATTTTTAGTATTGTTCGCACGTCCACCTCACAGTACAGAGGTCCAGGGTTTGATTCCGAGCTCCGGCCTATCTGTGTGGAGTGTGTGTGTGTGTGTGTGTGTGTGTGTGTGTGTGTGTGTATGTGTGTGTGTGTGTGTGTGTGTGTGTGTGTGTGTGTGTATATACTGTATATAAGATCACAATGTTTCTTAAATCTGGACCTGTTTAATTGAACTCAGGCGGTCCGGTGGTCCAGTGGTTAGCGCGTCGTCCTCACAGTGCAGAGGTCGTGGGTTCGATTTCTGTTGCATGAATGCTGAGAGGTGGAGTCACAGGTTAATTGCATCTTCTGCCATCTAGTGGAAGAGAATGTAATTATTCTTAATTTATAGATGAATAAAGATGGACTAAAGAGATATTAATCTTCAGACCACATGACTGAAATGTTAAAGTTGCATTGCTCAGGCAAAGAAATTTGTACCTCTCCAGCCAACCTGTCGTCATTTGAATCCCACTGTCAAAGTGTGTCCAGATTTCTCGACAGTGGTGACAACCATTCTTTCTTTGACAATTTTCTAACAGGAACCATCCCCCCTGCCATGCCAGAAAGGCAATTATGTCAAATTGTCTGCTAAAATAATTTCTCAGATGGACAAAAAAAAAAAAACCAGCACGACAGCCAGACGTTTACCATCACTCTGTGTTGGAAAAAAAAAATCTTTCCTAAATGGTTCCTCTGTGTTCAGTACTCACTGAATTCCTTTTTTTTAATGGTGTTGTCTTTACACGTGTTTCTTCGTATTCCATTCATTGACTTTGACACACCACAAGCATTTAGATTTGATTCGATGTTAAATTACCATAAATTTTGATTTCTTTTGTCCGTTCCTGTTGGAAATCTCTGACACGAAAAAGAAATGACAGGAATGCTTCTGTGTTCCCGTTGTTCTTTTCTGCTATTATTCCTGGCGTGAATCAGCTTTTCTTTTTTTTCTTCAGGTGCAGGCAAATGTTGAAAAGGCCCTGACTTTATTTGGCCAGCTGCTCACAAAGAAGCACTTCCTTTTGACATTCATAAGAACGCTGGAAGCACAGAGGTCTGTGGACTTGTTTTTACAATTTCTTCATTTATTTTGCATTTCTTATTTGAAGGAGTACTCGGGTGCCTGAAGATGACGTTTGTTGAGGATGCTCTCAAGTTGCACTTTAATAAAGTCAATGCAACAGTCAATGTTTTGGCACATGAACACTATCATCACATTTGTGGCTGAACTCGTTAAATTTCCGAACTTTCTTACTTGGCGTCTGACAAAGTTTCTCTTGCAGTTACAAAATACGATATTTTATGGCTTTGTCGTTCTGCTCCTTCAAATTTTCAAGCCATAGACTTGAGATGTTCTAAGCACTTGAGATGTTCGAAGCACAATGAGGTCACTATTGCAATAATGGCCTGCTTTCAAGGACAGGGAATAACGAAAATATAGTGAAAGGATTTGAACTACATTGGATATAGACTTCGATTTGAATAAAGTTGTGAATTAGAAACTTAATGACTGTTGAAATGAATTAACTTGCATGATAGGCAAAACCATTTGTTAAATATTTTATATAACATGATAAATGAAGCACATTGAGTTGCCCTGTGTATGAAATGCGCTATATAAATAAAGTTGCTTTGTCTTGACTTCACACTCAAAATGGATTTCCAGGTCGTTTTCAATGCGGGACCGAGGGAATGTGGCGTCCTTGATCATGACGGCCTTGCAGGGGGAAATGGAGTATGCGACGGGAGTCCTGAAGCAGCTTTTGTCCGACCTGATTGACAGAAACTTGGAGAGTAAAAACCATCCCAAGCTGCTTCTCAGGAGGTGAGGAAGGCAAACGGAAACTCCTCCAAAGCACCATGAACTGGATAGGTTGTGACAATGGAAGATTGTGAGGAAAAAAGGGGCACAATGAAATTCTCCCTCAGTAAGATTGCGCCATGTCCTGCGCAAAATTTAAAAAAAAAAACCAATCATAAAAAAAAAGGGACCTCGAGGAAATGTCCAACCAGTTGCATATGTTTTTTTTTTATTTTAATTATAGCAGATTGAGTAAATATATTGTCATCCATTCACTGCTGCCGAGTTTTTTTAGATATATATTTTTTTTTTTTACTGCACAGAAAACATGCAATATTCATTGTGTTTGTCATTGTGGTAAACTTAATTTCCTCCTTTCACAGCCCTCCCAAAATAAGAATGTCATGTACAAACATGCTTAATGCTTCTTGCTGATGGTAATAAAGGTATTTATTTGCATAATATGTTCTTTTGTGTGTGTAACAGAACGGAGTCTGTTGCTGAGAAAATGCTGACCAACTGGTTTACGTTCCTTTTGTATAAGTTCCTCAAGGTAAGGCCAAAAACTTTAGTCTGTTTTTTTTTTTTTTTGCAGTCCAGTATTGCAGATTAAAATTGTTGTACTTTCAGTGGTTTGCGCTCTAATTTCACCCTCATAGCTTAAAGGCCACTATCTGTTGCCGACATATTTAGGTCCTCAAAACATTCCCATTTCATTTCTGTTATTTTGTGCCCAGCGTCAAATGTGTCTCAATGTTTCTACATAGACAATCAGTAAGTACTGTATGTTCATTCGGATTTCCGGTCTCTAGTTAAAATTCAAGTTGTGTCTCCTCATGTGCTACTGTAATCCTATTCGTATTATTGTGCAATAGTTCCCGTGGATGCAGAGTCAGCAAAAACGACAGCTTTTGTGTGGGTGAAAAAGCCTTTAAGTTGCATCAAATAGAAGGAGATGTATTATTAAGAAGGTTTAAAATGTTGGGAATCTGCAACCAAAGTATCAAGTGTCACCAAAATGGGATATGCTGGTGCATTGCTGCAACAGGTTGTTAGCACGCTTTCACGCTTGAACTTGATAAAGCCGCAACCATCATTACATCCCTAAATTTTAAACGTCAGCGTGCAATTTAATGAGGGTAGCATGCGTGGCGAAGGCAAATCATGTGAGAAGGACAAGCAAGTGTCGGCAAGGCGAAAGCTGAAAGGACAACATAACAGTGATATGTGCATTTGTTTCTTCTGGTTAGCAGCTGCACTAACGAGGTTCTTTAAGCGCATGACAGTTAAGGAGTGAGGGAACCGCGAGGTGACTGGCCAAAGAGCAAGAAAGGAAGAACGCTTTACTTTTTTTTTCCATCGTAGCTGGAGAACAGATGGAGATGTCTGGATTAATATGTGACGATGAGGGTGCCTTTTTCACCTTGTTTTGTCACAAAGATGTACAGTGGTACCTCTACTTATGAACGTCTCTTCATACGAAATTTTCAAGTTACGAAACGCCTCGACAGGAAAATATTCCCCCTTTTACGAAAGAAATTTCAAGATACGAAAGGTAAAAATACAGTATTGTCTGCTACTCGCAGCTCTGAATTTCCTGAACGCAACATACTTAGAGCTGCTCTGCCATTGGCTATTACCCTGCATCATTCTGGCATCCCATTGGCTAACAGTGACCTCTACTGTATGTGTCTATGCAGCGTCCTCGTCATTCACCCCTCAGGCCATGAGGCGTTCCGATAGTTTTACGTAAATGTGAATCACCCAGAGAAAGTGGTCACCAGTCGAGCGATTGCTCACTGTGCTCATGTTTGCCTTGGACATTTTCGGAGGATTGTTAAAAGCTGACCAAAGCAAACGTCCCTGGAATCGGTTCTTTACAAAACGCCAGGCAAAAAACAGTTCCGAGAGAGAACATGAACTAAAGAGGGCAAAAAACGATGAAGACGCAGTTAAAAGTTAAATGACCATCATTTTTATTCTTTACTCTATTCTTTGTTTATTACATTAGGCACAACTCTCATTTATTGTGCAATGATCTAATTGTAACATGTACTTGTTACATATTTTGATGCATTTTTATGCATTTGTTTGTCCATTTTGGGTTAAATACCATGAATCAATTTTTCTCTGACCTAATCTTTTCGGCATGTTTTCATCCTCTTTGAGAGGGGCGGGTTTCGGATTTTTTTTTTCTGGGGTTGCCAGATAAGTGCTCAGACCGCAGAAGGATTGAACAAATGTCACGTTATATGTGTTTATTAAATAGTTAATAATGAAAATAGTTCAGAACTAAGGAACATTTTATTACATTATACAAATACACACAGATTAAAAATAAATCAAAATACTTTGGTATTGTTCAGTGAGGCCGGACCAAATGTGGAGGCGGGCCAGATCTGGCCCACAGCCTGTAGTTTGGTGACCACTGCTCTATATGAAGTACTCTCTTTATCTGTGTGCTCCCCTTGACCAGGAGTGTGCGGGCGAGCCTCTTTTCATGCTTCACTGTGCCATCAAGCAACAGATGGAGAAAGGGCCGATAGACGCCATCACGGGAGAGGCTCGTTATTCTCTTAGCGAGGACAAGCTCATCAGGCAACAGATTGACTACAAAACGCTGGTCAGTAAACTTAACGTGCCGGTCCTGGATAAGCGGTGTTGAAAATGGATGGACAGATAAACCAACTTAAAGTGCATTTGGTTAATGTAATGATTACATTTTTTTTAATTCTCATGAACTTCAAACAGTGTCTAAACATGTGAGATGTCCTTGCTTGTCCACCAATGTTATTAAAATGCTAAATGAGGTGATCTACGGTCGCCTTCAACAACCATAACTCTTATTTGTGCCCCCATCCAATCGAGCGAACATCCACATGATTTTGAAGTTGTTTTTTTTTATACTGTACGTCCATGTAACTGTTTCCACCCTCCTTTGTTTTATCTGACAGACGTTGCACTGTGTGAACCCAGAGAACGAAAATGCCTCGGAGGTGACCGTTAAGTGTCTCAACTGTGACACCGTCACTCAAGTCAAAGAGAAGCTGCTCGATGCTGTCTACAAGGGCAGTCCCTACTCTCTCAGAACCAAGGCTTCCGATATGGACTTAGGTAAGGCCACAAGAGCAAATGACGCACCCAGTAATTACACGAGATGTGCACTGCTTGTTGTTTTTCGTCAAAAAGATCCCAAAGGTGAGGCTGCACGGCTGTAAAGGTCTGAAATCTAAGCAAGAAAATGGTTTCCTCTCTTATCTAATATCATAGCTTGGCCAAAATCTGCTGATCATGTTTACTTACAGGGACACACTTTTTTCCCTTTGCATAGAATAATGTAATAATTGAAAGATTGCAGCTCTCAGAACCAATATAAACAGCTTATGCTGTATATTACTGCTTTCTATTGCATGTTTTTAAAAATATTTTTTTATGTACCTCAAATGTTCAGTTAATGCACTTTCCCAGCTTTGATGTCAAATTTCGTAGTTATTTATTACATGCTGAATGCACAGGCCCCTTTAAATTGTCGCAACCTCCATAATGACATAATCGGCTTTGACATGCATCTGACTCATCCTGTAATTGTCCTGCAAGACCCCCAAGCCCTCATACTTGTGTACATAATGAAGGTAGACATCCAATATTTAGATTTAAAGGTCTTTGTCACAAAACTCAACGTCCAAACTTTGTCCTAACTCCGATACTTTCTTCCATTTCGGTTCCAAAAAAAAAAAAAACATTTATCCCCTCCATCTGAAGAATGGCGCCAAGGTCGAATTGCCCGAATTATTCTGCAGGATGAAGACGTCACAACAAAAATAGACAATGACTGGAAAAGACTCAACACTCTGGCTCACTATCAGGTACACAAGCACAAATGTGGGCCAAAAACAAAAAAACGCATCAATGCAGGTTTGCCCTGAGGAGTGATAACATTTTGGTGCTTCCATTTAATGTGTAGGTTACAGATGGCTCAGTGATCGCACTGGTGCCAAAGCAGAACTCAGCCTATAACATCTCCAACTCATCGACCTTCACCAAGAGCCTCAGCAGATACGGTAGTCGCCTTCTTATTGACTTGATTGCCATCTCTCACACCAGCCCATCTCTCTCCTTGGCTGCCTCTGTTTATGATGACTGCAATCATAGCCCCCATTCTTCTTTTTCCTCTCAGTCAATGGCAATCCTTTTTTTATCCAGCGCCATCACCTCAGGCCAAGGCTGTTTAACGGCTATTTCCAAGCAGTCTGTAAATGAGAGGTATAAAAGAAGACACCTCAATACCTAGCTGACAAAGAAGTGAAAGCAAGTGAGGATGAGTGACAGCCAATGACGGACAGAAACTCCACATCAATACGGTGGAAAAAAATGAAACGATTTAAAAAACAGATAAAGGGATAGATTGTTACTGTCTGGTAAAACTGAAAGCATGGTTGAAGTACACTAGCTATTAGAGTATTAAACTAGCAGACAAAATCACAATCCGTTATTCGTGTGGACGTCGAAGATTTCCAAATCAATTCGTATCTTGTGCACTTTCCTGGAAAAGAAAAACACTGAAAAATCCTTATTTGAAAACTTCATCTCTTGAACAGGAAAGTAAAACGGCAGACAACCACCAATGTTCTGTAAAATGGTGGCTGTCTGCCACTGTTTTAGCTTTTAAAACTTCAAAATGTTTTGCTTTTGAGTTTAAACTTGCTAAAGCCCCCAGGGGTGAATGAGATCCGTCCAGAGTTTCTCAAGGATTTGGATGTTGTGAGGCTGTCATCAACAGTGCCTCTGGATTGGCCAACCGGGGTGGAGTCCCTCTTTTTAACAAGCGGAACCGGAGATTGTGTTCCGGCTACAGAGGGATCACACTCCTCAGCCTCCCTGGTAAGGTCTATTCACTTGTGATGTGAAAATGAAGCTTCATGAAGCACTTGTGATAATTTTTGACTCTTCTAGCTGGTGCTCTTGGTTTAAATATAAAGGTTTGTGCAATGGAAATGTATTCAAATTTCACTGTATCTTTAAACCAAAAGTGCCATCGAGAGCATCAGTCCCCAACCTTTTTAATGTCAGACAATATTTCAGAGACCAGCCTTTAAGGTTTGGCAGATAAATACAACAAAATAATATGATATTACCTGCATGAAAACTGTGGTATTTTCTAAACATAAAAATAAACAAGAATTATAACACGAGGAACGTCCTATCTGGCCGCAACACTCTCTGGTCGCTATGGTAATGGTTAAATGTGCCTTCAAAATAAGATATACCGCAAATACAAAGTGCATGAAAAATATCCAGAACCATCGCCGCAGATTATGCAGAGTGGGCTTGGTGGGTGGGAATCTCCCGTTGAGACAAATCCGTATCTTGAGTAGGACTCCTGATACTGTCTATTAGCCTTCTTTGTCTTGAAAGTCGTAGGCTCCTTTTCTGTCTCCTGGCTGAGCCTTTTCCCCTTCCCAAAAAAACTTTCCAAAGACGTTTGTTTTTTTACTCATTTTGCTGGCTCCTGGGTTTCATTTCACGTGACCGCTTCTCGGTCACGTGAAATGACCGCTTCTCTTCATACTGTAGACGGATGTAACAGGGAGTCCGGTAAATTTTCAAAATAAAACAGATTCCGAAATGAATGAAACGGAAGTAACGTAAGTTATTTATTCTTTCTGTGCGGCCCGGTACCAAATGACCCACGGAACAGTACCAGTCCGCAGCCCGGGGGTTGTGGACCTCTGATCTGGAAGAGTCAAAAACTAAGTGCTTCATGAAGCTTCACTTCTCCATCACTACTTGGCAGTGTCCTCGAGGGTGCACGGGAGTTCGCCCAACCAGTCTGCAGACAGTCGTGATATCAGGATTGAGAGCTCCACTTTCTGCTGAAATCATCTTAACGGACGAGAACGTTGTGCGAAAAATAGGTCATTATCTATTTTCATAATTTCATATTTTATCTCATTAAAGGTGAGGTCAATGATGATATGTGAATAAGAACGAGACTGTTTTCCCCCCCGTCTACACGGCAACTCATCACAATGACCTCCATAGTAGAATTATGAAGCATTCATGCAAATAGTCAAGATTAATACGTCCTACCATTTGGGCTTCTTTATCATGCGTATATTTCACAACAAAGTATCCCAGAGTTCGCATTGAGTTACAATTTAAATAATATAATAATCCACTGCTGAAAATTCATCCTCACTGGCAGGCGTAATCATGTGCCCATGTCTTAAGTATTTTCTATTTAATGGTGATGATGTAGGAGGGCGGGGAGTTTGCTTTATGTTCTGGGGTTGCGTTGGATGAATGTGGCTCGTGATGGGTTTGGAATTAAAGTCTCTGCGCCCTGCTGACAGAAAGAACAACAGACAGCACTCCACAGTAAGCATCCATCTGGTTTTGAGCCTGTGCCCTGCTATTACTCTCCTTTTCACCCCCTACCTCTCCAACACACATTTCCTTCTCATCTCCAGCATTCCCATTCATCTGTCCCCATCCTTTTTTCTCCGATACAGGATCACAGCAGCATCCTCTGCAGATTGTCATCTCTCCTGTGTGCACGTCACCTCTCCATTTCCGTCGTCTTCGCTATCTTTCGAAACAGAACAGTCGCAGATACGCATCTCCTTGCTTAGCGCTAATCAATTTTGACACCCTTGCCATGAATAATAAAACACACACAGAGGACAGACAATGAGGAAGGGAGAGTGCCGTACTATAAAAAGAAGAGGAAACTAAACCATTCTGCTTTTTTGGGTGCAGTTCAAGCTACCCATCAGGGAACAGTCATCTATTCTCTTTAAAACCTTTACGCATAAATATGAAAGTAGAAGAATGAAGTGGAATGAGTTAAAGGTCCCTCGTGTCCTGTGTACTTGCATTTGCGGTTCTAGAGAGCATGCTGAGAACAGCAAGTAGTCCAGACAGCCTTCGATCCCGAACACCCATGATCACCCCTGACCTGGAGAGTGGAACTAAATTGTGGCATCTGGTGAAGAACCACGATCATTCGGACCAAAGGGAGGGCGACCGGGGCAGCAAGATGGTGTCGGAGATCTACCTGACCAGGCTCTTGGCTACAAAAGTAAGCGACGGCAGAGAGGAGTCGAGTTTTTACAAAGTTCATTTTGTTGTGGTTCTCGTCTCAGGTACTCCGGTCCTCGAGGGCCGCTGTGCCGCACGTTTTCCATCTCTCCCTGTTGCAACTCATTGAACAGAATCGTTATCATGCTTCTGCGGAGCTTGCTGATGAGTTGATCATTTTAATCAGGCGTGTTGCCAAAGGGCGAAATGGAACACATGCAAAAAAAACGGCCCTTGAGGACCGTAGTTTGACACTTACGCTCTTGTGTGACTGTGGGATTTGGCCCAGCTGTGGAAAAAGGAAGCTTTTTCAAAACAAACAACACGTATGAGTATAGCTGAAAGCTAAATTTACACATCTACTTTCAAGGGATCAAAATACACCATCGTGTATTTAAAATTTACCAAGCAAACGAAAAAAAAAAAAACAATATCCAAACAAATTAAATTACATACTGTTTAGTTTCCGCAGAACATTTCCAGCCCTTAGCTCAGTCGCCTCAAAAGACGGTTAACCTCAACAATAATCTGCTGCTTTTTGTTTTATTTTATGGATTCATTTTTTGCTTGTGGTTTCGATTTACCACAAAAGTGCCATTTGAGAAGGAATGCGTTCGTATCTCGTTGATCTGGACCAATCACATCGCTAAATGTCCTATTCAAATCTCGTTGTCATCCACAAAAAACACTATGAGCTTGAGAATATCCAATTATGCTTTTTTTTGTTGTTTTTTTCATCTTTCACTGCCATAATGGATTGGGAACAAATTAGGCACCAAAATGGACGTGTGTCACTGGAAGCCTGCTGTGTAAATGCAGCCCAAGACACCGCCAGTTAAAAGGCTTACCGATCAAATGACTTCCATTTTTGAAAAGGAGAATGATGTGCCTCAGTCGGTTCACGGTTGAGGAAATGTGTCTCTGAAGTCAGCAGGGACCATAAAACATCATTTATATCACGTCCTCAAAATTCTCGTATTCTCTGAGAATCATTTACCAATCTCTTTTTGCCCGACTTTATTGGTTGAGTGTTCAAATCGAAGCTGGGCTGTGGCGCTCATAAAAAGAAACAAAAAAGATGTGTTTGGAATGCCGCTACCAAAAAAAAAAAAAAAAAAAAGTCATGAGATGGTGGATTGTTGTGAGATGGAAGATTTGGTCATGCATGATGGGCAGTAAAACTTTATGACATCTCATCTTTATGCATTATCGGTTTTTATAGCTGATCGGAGTTTTGACTCTTCTTTCCTATTCAGGGCACGTTACAGAAGTTTGTGGATGACCTTTTTGAGACCATCTTCAGCACGGCCCACAGGGGCAGCGCCTTGCCGCTGGCTATTAAATACATGTTTGACTTCCTGGATGAACAGGCAGACAAACACTCCATCACAGACTACGATGTACGACACACCTGGAAGAGCAACTGGTAAACTTTTTTTTTTTTTTACCTTATTCCTAAACCGACACCAATTTTGCATTTAAGTGAAAGAATGTCGTGTATAAACAACAGCACACCATTTCTGTGAACGTTCTACACCATAAATATAAGGAGCACTGAAAATTGTGAGAAATGTTGCTTTTTATTGGATAATATTACTGACGCTTTGAACTTCAGCGCTTGCAATATTTATGACTTCTTTCTTAAAGATAATTAATTGAACTGGTGCTGTAACAGGTTATCTCTGCATTCATGAGCTACAGTTTGGGTATCTTAATCAAAGTGAGGATGATGTGATGGTTAAGAATTTGCTCAATTGAGTGGAATTAAATGTTGATTCACGAAGGCAAGTGATTAAAAAATAAATTGAGTGCACTATATGGCAGTTAGCTCAGTAGTTCTCGATTTTCATACCCCAAGCACCACCTAAAATATACTGAGCTCTCCAAGTGCCGTATTTTCCGGACTATAAGTCGCTCCTGAGTCTAAGTTGCACTGGCCTTAAAATGCATAGTAAAGAAGAAAAAAAAACATATATAAGTCACACTGGAGTATAGGTCGCATTTTGGGGGGAAATTTATTTGATAAAATTCAACAAGAAGTACAGACATGTTATCTAGAAACGAAAATAAAAAAGAGAACAACAGGCTGAATAAGTGTGCGATGTGTTAACGTTACCTGACACCTAAACAACAAATTGAAAACGTGCCTGGTATGTTCACGTAACATATTAGGAGTTATTCATATAACTGTAGCATAAAGAACATGCTAACAGGTCCACCAAAAACCAGTGTCACTCCAAATCACCAAATCCAATGAAATCTTCTTCCTCGGCGTCACTTGGAAACAACTCCGCCAACCCCAGAAGTAGAAGATGCGGCTCTTCCTCTTCTACGTCGCTTACGTCGGAGTCATCGTCAATTGTCTTTATCAGTTACCGCCAATGTGGAAAGTATCAACACAGGCCTAGAGCACCCTCTTGCGCTTTAATTTGAATGTAACATGTGAAATGATATAATGTGTGAATAATTTTCACACATAAGTCGCACCCCTGGCCAAACTCTGAAAAAAAAAACTTATAGTCCAGAAAATACGGTACCACCGTCATGACCAACACTAAGATACCATCGCAATCATGTTTGGTGTTTGTCGTGAAAAGTATTGAATATTCGTGTTCGCCACGGTAATAGTTCTGCACAGAACATTCGCACAGCCTCAACAAACGACAAAAGAAAACAATATAAATAGTTGAATTAAAATGTATTGCATACGAAAAAAAAAAAACGGTGTCAAAATAAATGTTTACCAACTAAGATAAGAAAACCTTTATTTGTCTTACAATGGAGAAATTCCAAATTTACAGCAGCAAAATTATGAAAGGGAGAAGTAGAAGAACAAAAAGTATATAAATAAATATAAATATAAAATATAAATATAAGCATATTAAAAATTTGGGATGACAACATTAACCTTTCAGACACAGTGGTTACTATAGTGGACAGCTATTCAAATGTGGTTTTCTCTTATGTTAATTTATCTTAATGTCACAATTGTGCATCAATCACGACAATGGGCCCTTATGTGTGTTGCCATCCACTTCCATTATTTTTTTTCTACACCAAAAGACGAATAAAAACACTTGAGAAAAAAAATCCTGATGTAAGTTATCATTATTTGTGCATGAAAGGGTTAGAAAATCATCTTTGGCAATTTTTTTTTTCCTTGCAGCCTCCCTCTGCGATTCTGGGTGAATGTGATCAAGAACCCGCAATTTGTATTTGACATCCAAAAGAACAGCATCACGGATGCCTGTCTGTCTGTGGTGGCCCAGACCTTCATGGACTCCTGTTCAACATCCGAACACAAGCTGGGGAAAGACTCACCATCCAACAAGCTCCTCTATGCTAAAGACATCCCCAACTACAAGAATTGGGTAGAAAGGTAACTCTTTAGTTGCATTCGGTCAAATCGAGTATGAAAGCTGCAATATAAAATCATGTGCCACCCGAGTGAAAGGTTGAATGTGAGGTGTTGGCTGAGAGAAAAATATTCCTCAAAGAGCCGGACTTGTTTGTTTGGGGGAAGTACAAACAGGTCGCTCGAAGTCAGAGTACAACGTCGGCTAGAATAAATCGCAAAACAATTTTCTGCTTTCTTGCATCTTTTCAAATCAGCATCTTGCATCCCGGCTCATTAATATACAATATGCAAAGGGCCAATTCCCTCAGATTTTTTTTTTTTTCTTGATCCTACTCATCAAGCGGAGATGCAAAACGACACAGGTGATTGGAGGATTTGTTGCAACTGTGACATTATTTACCGTGCACTGAAAACAGCCCCTGGTTCACCCCTTCATCTTTTATTCAGCATCGAAATGTTACTCAGCTCCAGATAAGTTATGCACCACTGATGTTTGCTGTAGTTGCCTTTCATGGGTGAGTCTATTAATCTCTAAGTAGCTTTTCAAGGCTGCTTCCTCCTTAACTCCAAGCGAGACAGTGTGAAGTACTGTGCTGGTGGTTCAATACTTTTAGCACCACCAAGCCAACCTCCTGATGCCCAGCTACCGCATTAACAGTACCGTTGGTCATGGTTATGAGGTGAATGACAGAATTATAAGTCCATTAAAGCATAGACACACAGCCAAGTCATGCAGACATGAGGTAAGACCTTGCTAATTGGCTGTAGCTGAACTGTTTCTCTTGCTATGCAGCAGACCTTGAGCTATACGTAGTGGAAACTCTGATTCTTCAAACAGAGTTTGCATGTTCTCCCTGTGCCTGCATGGGTTTTCTCCGGGTACTGCGGTTTCCTCCCACATTCCAAAAACATGCGTGGCAGGTTAATGGAGCACTCTAAATTGTCTCAAGCTGTGAGTGTGAGCGCGGCTTGTTCGTCTATGTGAGCCCTGCGATCGGCTGGCAACCAGTTCAGGGTGTCCCTCGCCGACTGCTTGAAGACAGCTAGGATAGGCTCCAGCACACCCCGCGACCCTTGTGAGGATAAGCGGATCAGAAAATGGATGGATGGATGGGTGGGTGGATGTATTTGTAAATTTACCATCAAATCACAACTCCAGAATCTTACAACACTGCCTTCTAGTAAGGATTATAGAATATGTGTGCTAAATATATAAGGAGCGATATTTGAGTATGGTAATGGTAGAAACACATGCCTACCATTAATTTGGTTAACTGCAGCTTTGGTTTTGTTTGTTTTGTTTTGTTTTTTTGTCACAAATGACGTGATTGTGAAATAAACCCACAAAACAAAACACAATGCACCCCTGAGAATAAAACAGAAAATATCCGAACTATGAGCGGCCCGGTTGTCCAGTGGTTAGCGGGTCGACCTCACAGTGCAGAGGTACCGGGTTCAATTCCAGCTCTGGACTCCCTGTGTGGAGTTTGCATGTTCTCCACGGGCCTGCGTGGGTTTTCTCCGGGTACTCCGGTTTCCTCGCACATTCCAAAAACATGCATGGCAGGTGGATTGAACACTCTAAATTGTCCCTAGGTGTGAGTGTGAGCGCGGATGGTTGTTTGTCTCTGCGTGCCCTGCGATTGGCTGGCAACCGGTTCAGGGTGTCCTCCGCCAACTACCCGAAGACAGCCGGGATTGGCTGCAGCACCTCCTGCGACCCTTGTGAGGACAAAGCGGATCGGAAAATGAATGAATGAATGAATGAATATCCAAACTAAAGCCACGGCAAAGTTTAAATCTCTGGAGTCTCTGAATTCAGTTGAACACAATTTATTTTCTTCCTTTGCAACATCAACTCAGCTTTTGTCCAGGGTGTGAATAGCTTTGGGCTGAATTGTAGTATGTAAAATGCAATCATGTATGGGAATGTTTTTTTCCCCACTTATCGGGGCAAATTTGGCTTTGTGGTTTTTCTCTCTTGATCTCAACCTGCTGCACATCCCCTGAAATCATCGAATTGCGCTTCGGCAACCTAAACACGACAAATTTAATTTTATTTTTCTTCCTCTGTTATCTCTTGAGCAAAATGCAAATGCAGATGACAAAAATGAGGCCCTGACTGTGCTGATCCCATCCTTCAGGTATTACTCCGATATCTCCCGTATGCCAGCTATCAGCGATCAGGACATGAGTGCCTACCTTGCAGAGCAGTCCCGCCTGCACCTCAGCCAGTTCAACAGCATGTCAGCGCTACACGAGATCTACTCTTACATCATCAAATACAAAGACGAGGTGAGCTTCCACCGTATTATATTTCAATTGAAGACATTTCCATTCAAATCCACGGGCTGTCTTCATCGCGACCGTCTTGACGGTTTTCTCACAATTTCCATGCGACGCCTGTTAAAATAACACTTTATTAATCCCGCGGAGCTTCGGATTTCTCATTTATCGGGTGAAAGGAGTCATATTGAGACACACGCAACGCTACATTTGATAGTACTGTTTTGCACCATCCAATGGTTAGCAATAGTTTTCCATGGGAAGTATTTTTTTTGTTATTGTTGCTTGAATCTCTCATGTTCTCTTCTGATTTTCTCTGTGTCGTTATTTTGTCTGCCGTGAGTCACCGCAGTTTGAGCACACTTTTCCTCGCCTCCTGCACCTCGTGACGGGCAGCTACATATATTCTTATCAACCTCTGATTTCCACCACTTTATCGCAGTTTTCCGATGAAAGATGCGAAGTTGCAGCCTCCCCTTAATCTCCTTCCTTCCTCTCCATCCCCTCTATTGAAGCTGTATTACTGTAGTTATGTTTGGCTGCTTGCAGCTGGCTCCATTCAAACCATGTGCTCCCCTTCATTACAGTCTATTATCACGACGAAGGTAGCTGAATCTCCACTCGAGATGTCTTTAAGAGTATGTTCCACATAATGACATGAATGTAGATGCAGAATGACGCATATGCATCCCCAAATCACCCTTATTCATCAGGCAAGTTGTTAACATCAGTTTCAAACGTAATCATTAGCAGGGAGCCTAAAATTAGCATTAGCCCATGGCTTTGCTCATGCCTCGGTTAAGAATGTTCGTTATATTTTCTATATTTTCTGAGCAGGTGGCGTTTTTAATTGGAGAAAAAGTAATGGGGTGAGAAAAATGTGCGGAAGAAAAGTAACCTTTTCTTTCAACAGCCTCAACTAACATCAGTTTCAAAATGTAATCATGAGCAGGCAGCCTAAAATTAGCATTAGCCCATGGCTTTGCTCATGCCTCGGTTAAGAATGTTCGTTATATTTTCTATATTTTCTGAGCAGGAGGCGTTTTTAATTGGAGAAAAAGTAATGGGGGGGGGGGGGAAATGGGCGGAAGAAAAGTAACCTTTTCTTTCAACAGCCTCAACTAACATCAGTTTCAAAATGTAATCATGAGCAGGCAGCCTAAAATTAGCATTAGCCCATGGTTTTGCTCGTGCCTTGGTTAAGAATATTCGTTATATTTTCTATATTTTTTGAGCAGGTGGTATTTTTTTAAACATAGAAAAAGTAATGGGGTGAGAAAAATGTGCGGACGAAAAGTAACCTTTTCTCTCAACAGGCCCAACTGTGTCGAGTAGTGTAATGCTACGCTTGTCTGATATCCGGATAAGAATGGAACAAAACCGTCGAAGGTCAAATGATGACAACTATATTTTGTCTCTCTTCATCGTTTGGGTGCAGATCCTGTCAGCGTTACAGAAAGACGAGCAGTCGCGAAGACAGCGGCTACGCGGCAAGTTGGAGCAGGTCATTGACACCATGGCATTAGCTAGCTGAGGGTTAAAGCGAGCACTCAGCTTGGATCGCCGGGCAAGAAACTTTCCAGTAGATACATTTGCGCTCCCGGACATGAGGAATCCGAACAACAAATGACAGGAATTTAAAAGGTCATGAAGAGACAGCGAAGGCTGGAATTAATCAATTCCTATTTTTTCTTTTTTTTTTTTTTTTTTTTTCACTGAGCTGCAAACCAAGCCTGGAACAACCAAATTGAACAAATTCTCGCAGAGGACAGTGATTGACTTCTATGGACGCAATCAGGACCATGACCGAGGTGCAAATTCAACAGGCTTAAACCGTAAGACAAAAGAAACCAGGATATTTGATCCCAATTTGGGATTTTCCTATCCTGTTACCATTTTCCGGTGGAAGGTCAAGCAGAACCGGTGTGACTCCTCGTCAGGGTGGACACAGAGGAGGAAGAACTTTTGCTGCGGGAAAACTCTTCTTCTGGCACTGATTAAAAACTCCAAACCTAAGGAGTCGTTCTAGTCCAAACTGTTTTATTTTTTACGTGTTAAAAACCCGCTTTTAGTCCAGTGTCGCATTTCATTCCATCCCCACCAAACTGCCTCCTCTCCTTAGTGCTGTGCCACTCGTGTTTCTGCTGAATTTGCACAACAAAGCTAAATCAAAAGAGAGCAAAGGATATATGAACACATTTATAACTGTCAACATCAATACAGACATTGTTGTTTGAATTGACAGATGTTTTGAATTTAATGTACAAATGATATGTTTGACAGGATTTGATATTTCAAAGTAGAAAATGTGAAAAAAAGAAACGAAGGCGATTCACATTGACGACGATGTGAGAGAAAAAAAAAGTTACGTGCCATGTTTTACTTTGAATGTTGTTTCGTGCAAAGAGACTTCTTTTCTTTCGATAAAATGTGTTATGAAATGTTGTCATGATAGGCATATAAAAATAGGTACATGGAAAAATAGATATATAAATTGCAGAAACTTTCTATATTTCATGAAGTTTTCATCCAAAAGCCACCGATGGGATTTTTTTTTTGAGCCAATCAACTCAGAAGAATCTAATTTGGATCCCGCAAAAGAGTCGAGCTCAAGCAGAAGGTCCCGACATGCTTTTGAAAACAGAACACGCCAAACAGTGAGCCCAGTGTTCCAAGTTTACACAATAAGATGCCTCTGGTGCGATGTATGATATAGCTCAGATATAGAAAAGTGCTTTCAATACAGCGGCAGCGGGAGAAGTTAGGAACTTCACACGTTTATTCTCATCCCACCATTTCACCGCTTACACAGGCATCTGTTTCCGCCGTCGCAAGTCAGAATATTGACGGAATGGCTTGCAATAGAATGACAACGGCGATAGGTGGTTCTAACTTGGCTTGAACAGGCTGTGTAAAAGGGGTGATTTATTTTGGTGAGATTGTCCTCATCGTGCGAATGACTGGGATTTGTGTCACAATCCTTTAGGGGGAATCCTGCTGGTGTTGGCCACGCCTTCGAAAGCTTCTGTGGTCCATTTCAGTTCAGTTACTTCTAAGTATGCCTTTTATTGTGTTGTCATGGGTGCTACACAAACCACCCCAGAAAAGCCATGTTGGGGGGTGGGGTGGATATTGGAGGGGAGGGGGGTGGGGTTGGGTGAAGCTATACGCGCTGCTGACTGCTGATTGGCTGATAGAAAACAACAGAAGATTGTACTGAAACAATGTACAGTGACAATTGTTTGCTTGATTTAACCTCTCACCTCGGTCACAGGAACTGGCCGGAAATGAACCTTACATGTTGGGGTCAGCTAAGCTGTCAGTAGCTGAAACAGTTGTTGCCTTCACCCCCACTTCCAAGCCCTGCATTGGAAATACAAGACTGATCAAGGTTTTTCAGAGCTGAGCTGAACTGTACTGCTTAGTCGAAGCGTTACCGGCTGAGAGGCTTCTCCTCTCGTCTGTAACATTTCACAGAGTTTGATTGAAAAAAACAGAACTGTTTCGATGGGCTGAAAAAGTTTGAGAACTCTGTAATTGTTTTACTTCTATTGCAATCTGCAATCAAAAGTTTAACATTAAGACTCCATTCTTAAAAATGTGAATGTGCTTTGTGCTTTCTAAATTGTATTTGATTTTATTTATTTTTGTGATTTTTTTTTTTTAAAAACAGACTGAAGGTTTTTTCTCTTGCTTTGTGTGGTTTCATGAGGTTCAAAAAGAAATTGGGTTTCCATTTCCTGAGCAAGTATCCGCTTGAGGCCTCTTCTCTGTAGAATTTAGTGGGATTTAATTCGAAAAATCAAGCAAGCGCTGTCATGACTCGAAAACTGTTACTTTAAATGAATTGAAAACCCACGTTACTTAAAATGCAGCTTTGAATATCAAACTCTCGTGATTTTAGTGCAGCATGTTTTCCATGACACGCATGTTGCTGAAATTTGCCCTGTTCAAATGTGATGAACTTCTGTCCAACTAAATTTTGCCGAGAACATATTGGCCTCGTTATTTTTGGTGGGGAAAAATGCTTGCAAAAAAAAAAAAAAAAAAAAACCATAAAAGGGTAATCGTTGATGTAAAGTGGGCCAATGTAAATCCTGTGATTGTTTTGCTAAATAGAGCACAAGACTAGACTGCATCAACAACCATGTCTGATGAATTTTTGAAGTAATGGAGAAATCCTCCGAATGTATAACTTGATCAAAGGCACAGTTCTTAAAATGACTTTGAAGAAAATGAGAAATGCTGCAATGGATTTCTGTTCTTATTTCAAAGTGCTTCTCCACATGGTTTGTTTCCATCACTATGTCAAAGAAAAAACAAAAACAAAAAAAAAAAACAGGCTCTACACTAAACAACCTTTGCAGATATATCAGATGTGGCGGTTCTCATTCACGCTGTATTTTAGTGAAAGGATCGGAGTTTCTCCTGTTCAAGAGCCCAGACTGTCAGCGATTGAGGCAGGAGAGATAAAACTGGGAGTTTTCTACTTTTGCAAAAGTACATTATTGGGAGATAGCGGCCATTGAATTACATAAGAACACATTAGAATTTCCAACAACACTTTTACAAATTAGGGTTAGAGAAAACGTAAAAAGATAGAGACTCATTGTTGGAGTTTTCCAATCATCCGATAAAATTAGGTTGGTCATAACGATGAGCATTGTTGTCATCACAAGAATATAATGTATGGTAATTCAGAAGCAAGGACATTCGCTTGAGGACAATATTGTCCCAATTCTGGACTGGGAGGACAGCTGGTTGAGGTGTGAAAGAAGCTAGAAAGGCTCCACGATCACTTATCGTCAGCTTGCAACAATGTCCGAAGTTCTCTCCCCCAAAGATCGTCAGACTCCATGGATAATGTGACCAGTAACAAACCATTTTCCACCCATCAGGGTCATTCATCAGTCACCCTGGGCAACAACAACAACAACAACAACAACAACCCCCACGGGTGTACATAAAGTCAGTCAGGTTTGTTTTTTTTTTTTTTTTTTCTTTACTGGATGTTGAATAGCCTTTGTGTGTTGTTATGTGGGAAACATAGAGGAACGTTGAAGGCCACAGCGAGTCTTAATTTTTCATTCAGTTGCCTGTGTGATGTGAGCTCGTGTTTGCATGGACAAAAGATGTGATGAATGGAGAAAAAATGTTTCAGGTGTAGAGACATTTGTTATAGCCTACGGCAGTAGGTATGTAGAATATACTATAACTTTGAGCCTCTTCCTAGATTGAGCATACAAAGGAGAGCTTTGGAAAGTTATTTCTAGATTTTTTTTTTTTAATTGGTAAAATCTGATACTTAGGAAGGAAAGACCAGTGTATTTTATTGACCATATGCTTCCTGATACCGGCCTTAACTGACAAAGTAGAATTTTTCACCTCTTTATAACCTTTTCCACACATCCCTCATCCTGTCACATTGAGCTGTTAATAGAATTTGAAAAACAAATTTGGAAAAATGTAGAACGCCATCCAACACCTCTAGACGAGTACATTCCATTCATTGTTGGTGTGAAATCCAAATAAAGCTAAGATATCTAACTCCATAGTCAATCTTAATCTAAAATATGTATTTTACAAAGCTTGAGAGCAAATTCCAAACGGGTTATTGAAAAAAAAAAATAAGATTGCGCCTTCATTTGTGTTGTCCTCAAACGGAGAGACATTTCAGCTTTTTTTCATGAGCTGCCTTCGCTTTGATTAAATGACATTATTGAAATGGAGCAAAGGTTTTCAGTCCTGTCACTTTAAGACATAAAAAAAAAAAACATGCACAGAAATAGAAAGGATTGATTTTTTTTTTTAAATAAAATATAATACCTTTTCAGGAGTATCAAACTCAAGCTGCTGTTTCACACCCGAGTAAATACCCAAGCCTTGTTCTATTATGCAGATTTATTATGTGTAAATAGACATTCATGAAGGACAGATGAAATAATTTTTGCTCAATATTAACTCGTCGGGATGTTTGTATCTCCTTCCTTCCCTGCTGTGCACTTCCCTCAGACGTTGTGGCTTTTTTTTTTTTTTTTGAAAAGCTATGAAAAAGTTTTAAGGTTTAACTCAAGTGCATTTCGTTCCCAAGAACGGCACACAATGTGAGACTTGTACCACATGCTGTAATGTATTCTGGCACAGGAAGGTACTGCTTGCGTTTGATTTCTCGCCTGTTTTGCCCACAGTGATGCTAATGTGGTCACTGAAGAAGATTAGACTGAAGAGGAACACTTTGATGTCCACGCTTTGCCGTCAAAAATCCTTCCCTGTAGTGTATTTAGCTCCGTTTTAAGAATAGAGTTCTCAATTTGGTGTCACTTTACATCACTGTCTATGTGCGAATAATCTTCTCACGCGTCACACTAACCAAAGCACAGGTCTCTCTCTCGCACTCTCGAACATTCATGATCTTTGGTCCTGTTTTCCGTTATCCTGAAATTATTCCCATCGACTAAAAGTGAACTCTCATCACATGCAAATGGAAGTCGCATTCTCCTCGACCGTCTCAAAGGCTGTCCATTACCAGTTTGAAATTGTAACATTCAAACGCCCTCAGCCTCTTGGGAACAAGTTGATTTGACAGCGAAGCCATCAATCAAAATTAAAAAACCCATTATGAAAATATTAAGGGGAGAGATTCAGACCTCCAGAGAGACTCTGACCTGGATATCACAGACACTTTGTCTGTATTCTGAATAGAACTGACCTGTCTTCGTAATCCTCTATTCTTGTCCTTGAGGACCAGTTAAGAATCAGACTACCATTTTTTTTTTTAAATTCTTTAAGTTTCTTTTAAATTTTAAGTTTGTGGGACATTATCACGCAGTCAATTGTTTGGACTGCCTAACCTGACACACCTGTTGAAAGAGAAGCGAGAATGCACAACGATCAGTCGGGTGACTCAACGAACCGCATGCCATGTCATACATTGCAAAACAATGTGGTTGAATTTATGAACTAAAAAGGGGAATTATCATTTTTAAATACATTTTGAGTACATAATATTCATTCGGTCAACTGGAATTGTGACATGTATTTGTTACATATTTTGATTTATTTTTATAATTTATAAGACATTTCTGTCTGAATTTTTGGGGGCTTGGAACCGATTAGGGCATTTACATGGAAAATGCGTTTCTACTTACAAATTTTTCTCCTTAGGAAAATTCTTCCAGAACCGATTAATTTTAAATCTATTTAACTTAAAAAGTAGAGGTACCACTGTACTCCTATCTTCTCTGTACCGGGCAAACGACGCCAAAAAGCTGTGTCCTTAAGAGTCAGCCTTAAAATACCGACCTGCATCTTTTCTTCTAATGCAGGAGAAAGTGTTTGCGTGATCCGGTGAAGTTCAGGGATCCTTATCTACCTTATAAACAAACTCCCTCGATAAAACCTTGAGCGTTTCTTTGTGCTGAAAGCAACCCGTATCAGTCTTCCTTTTCCCAAAGCTATTCAGTGCTTAAAGGTCAGTTTTTTTGCCAGCTTTCTTCCAACTTGGTGGGCACGTGATGGACATACTGCGCACAAGGATTTGAAAGTATGAAGCATATAAGCATGTTATTCATGTTTTTTTATTTTTTAATGACCATCCATCATTTGATACCTCCCATTCCCCTTTTTCGTCCCCCTTCATTTAAACGTGTCTGCTTGTAGGTAGAGCAGCAGCTTGATATCGTCTTGCATCGCCTCGAGATGGGGCTAATATCTCAAGGCATCAGATTACCCCCGTTCGTCTTGCACTCGTGAAAAATCACGCTCCCTCCCTCTTATTTTCCTCTTCTCTTTTCTGCGCCCGAGGGCTTTTCTGGCAGTTCAATCAACCTGATCGCGCTCAACACAAACACTCACTCGGTCCTCTTTCTATGTCCCGACTTAGGATAAACGACAAAGTCAGGCTGGATTTGGCTGTGACGCTGCTAGCTCTCAGCTCGAGATTAAACTGTGCTAAAATACCCTCTGTTCCTCCGGAGACGAGGAGAAGATGACATGGAGCAAAGAGGAGTGAAAAGATGAGCGATAATGAGAAAAAAGAGAGAGAGAGAGGCTGTCAGTGAGATAAGCCCAATGCAGGAAAGCAAGTTGGCCGTTGCCAGAGAGCTTGCTCATTCTGTCTTCATGCAGCCTCAATAAATGATGACCAGCAGGGGAAATAAGATGGCACTCACTTTCAGCGTGCCTGTTTCCTCACCGTCAGCTGCACCAGGTACTGCAGTGCTAAATCGTTACTGATAAAAGAAAAACCAAAAAAACTGCTGGTGTCCAGGAAGTCTTTTCAGATTCAAAGGAAATTTTTGAGGATTAAAACGTATCCGCATGAAATTGAGAAGCATTATTTTTTCTTTTTTTAATATAGATAAAACTTCCGGTTGGGCCGGTGGTCCAGTCGTTAGCGCGTCGACCTCACAGCGCAGAGGTGCCAGGTTCAACTCCAGAGTTTGCATGTTCTGCCCGGGCCTGTGTGGGTTTTCTCCGGGTACTCCAGTTTCCTCCTACATTCCAAAAACATGCACGGTAGGTTAATGGAACTTTCTAAATTGTCCCTAGGTGTGAGTGTGAGCGTTGATGGTTGTTCGTCTCTGTGTGCCCTGCGATTGGCTGGCAACCGGTTCAGGGTGTCCACTGCCTCCTGCCCGAAGACAGCTGGGATAGGCTTCATGCGACTCCTGAGCTCTTTTCAGGGACCGAGTTGAGCCTTGAAGCAGCACCCATGAGCAAGTTTTTGCAATACGTACAAGTCAATATGAAAAGGGTCATATGAAGTATGCCACAACCCAGAACAACCAATGAGAAGCAAATGGGTCATTGTAAATTCTGCTTAGGGATAAGCAGAAGCCATTTTAGTGACTCTGGCTCACCCATTTCAAACCCAGCGTGTACCTGCTTCTCGTCTCGGCAGGTTTTCCCCTCACCTTTCCCCGCACACTCGCCACACTTTCACCTCTCCCTGTGGCTCAGCATGATGGAAAGGGTGCACTGGAAAGTTGGCAGATGAGAACAAACCGTAGGAGATATACTGTACCATACAGTACGAGACATCTTTGAGCTGGAATCTTAAACACACAAACACACACTCCTCCATGCCCTTCTGTTGCTCTTCCGCTCGCTCCCGTCATCCTTTTTATCTCTTCCGACCTCTCATCGTCACCCTTCGTCTTGCGCCCTCTCCCCGTGCTCCTGCTCGCTCTCTGTAACACTTATGGCTTGGCTGCAGGCAACATTGACGTACTCGGAAGCGGC